TATGCGTTATATATTTATTTTTATGATTGATTTCTGTGTTCAAGAAGTTACGTGAGGATTAGATTATTGTAATATGTTTTGCTACAATTAAGTATTATTATGTGTTTTTATGTATATTCTTTTGTGTAACACAATTGGTGCCATTGTTTTTTGGAAGAGTAATAACATATTACAAATTAATAAATTTACAAAATAATAATAATAATAATTTATTTACGTTCCTACATATTATTCTCATAGGTCCATTTCAAAAACTATAGTTTTAGTACTACATATCACACGTATGTGTAAATTTTAATCTTGAATTCTTTTTTGTAGAATTTATGAGTTTGTTTTTGTGGCCCAATTAAGCTCCGATTTTTATTATAATCTAAATCAACTATAACCCACTAAAAAATTATCAACGAAAGAAAAATGAAACCAATATTTTGATGGGAGAATTACAAAACACTTTTTTCTTTCAAAAATAATTATTGATTCATGAAAAATTCTATAATTTTAATTATTAAAATTTGTAGAATTTATCGTTAATTTGATTTTTTTTTTTTTTACAAAAATACACTGAGTTGTTATTTACCTTATTTTAATTACTAATAGTTTAATGACACTATAAAAATTAAGACAATAAACGAGTCAAGTAATAAATTATTTAAATTTATTTTAAAAAATTTAATGAGTTTGAAAATATATTTAAAATTGTCTTCTCTGTTTTTTAGAACTAATTTGAAAAAATTGAATCAAGCCAAAGTTTTTTTTATGACTATTGAATCAAGCCAAATGGAGCCTTGGTTTCTTATAATATATATATACATATGACTATTAAACCAAACTCAAATAAATGAATTTCAAAATGCTTTCTGGCTTAAATTATTTACCTAACTTGTCAGACTTTTAGCTTAGCGGTTTGTATAACATTTTTTGTGGTAGGGTCCTGTTATGGTGTGCAATTTTGGTTGCACACCATATGCAACCAACACAAAATATGTAAATGGAAGGTATAAACATAAAACAGGACAGCAAACAGAAAGGCGTAAACGTAAGGTGTAAGTTGCACACTTAAGAAAAGTCCTTTGTGGTATGAGATTTTGAGTTCAACTCTTATAGAAGTAAGTTTAATACTCTCTGTGATGGTTTATTTCTTTCCTATTGGTGTTTTGAGAAGTTGGTAAAAAGTTGATTTTTGATTTTTTACCAAGCTTTTAGCTTTTTGGAAAGTGATTTGAGAAATTGGTAAAAAGCTGACTTTTTACTTTTTAGTTTAATATTTAGTGTTTCAAATTTCATGTAACTGCTTCAAACAATTATGTAACTTTTTGTTTTATTGTTTTTCAAATTTCATTTTTAATTCTAAGGTATTCATACACAAGTTCTAATTTATAAATTTATATTTTATTAAGTCCTAATTAAAATTTTTTGGATCTTCAAATTTTATTAAAATTTTAATAGTCAGAATTGTCCTTAGAACAATGATTGTTCATCATTTATGATTATCTATAAAGGAAAATGATGATTTGAAATTTATTTTGATTTTCAAAACTTTAAAATATCAATTTTTAAATTCAAAAAAACTAAAAAAAAATTATGTAAATTTTTTTAAAAAAATAAATTAATTTGATTTTTTTTTTTTTTACAAAAATACACTGAGTTGTTACTTACGTTATTTTAATTACTAATAGTTTAATGACACTATAAAAATTAAGACAATAAACGAGTCAAGTAATAAATTATTTAAATTTATTTAAAAAAGTTTAATGAGTTTGAAAATATATTTAAAATTGTCTTCTCTGTTTTTAGAACTAATTTGAAAAAATTGAATCAAGCCAAAGTTTTTTTATGACTATTGAATCAAGCCAAATGGAGCCTTGGTTTTTTATAATATATATATACACATGACTATTAAACCAAACTCAAATAAATGAATTTCAAAAGGCTTTCTGGCTTACCCAACTTGTCAGACTTTTAGCTTAGCGGTTTGTATAACATTTTTTTGTGGTATGGAATTTTGAGTTCAACTCTTATAGAAGTAAGTTTAATACTCTCTGTGATGGTTTATTTCTTTTTTATTGGTGTTTTAGAAAGTTGGTAAAAAGTTGATTTTTGATTTTTTATCAAGCTTTTTAATTTTTTGGAAAGTGATTTGGGAAGTTGGTAAAAAATTGACTTTTTGCTTTTTAGTTTAATATTTATTTATAGTGTCAAATCAAATTAAAATCACCAAAATACCCTTACCCAACATAAAAAATTTATTTTTTTGTCATAGGCCCTAATTTGTAATTTCACACTTGCATTTTTGGCCCTTCTCAAACCAATTTTATTGCGTTTTTGGAAAATGCTAAAAAACGTGACTTTTTATAAAAGTTTCCAAAATGGCATTATGAGACTTATGTAATTAGTGATGATTGTGTTGAGCTAAGACTATTGGTTTATTGGTTGTTAGACTTTGTTGATTTTTTAACTATTATTGATTAATAATTTATTTAATGATATAAATATTTTTCATATTTATAATAACTCTTCTATTTATAGAAAAAAAAAAAAAAAAATTGAAGAAAAAAAAACCGCTCTCAAATACATTTTTAAGAAACCAAGAGCAACGTGCGCTTGACTACTCAAGTTCGTTTTACAACACAACTAATCAAACTAACCTTTTTTTTTCCTAATCTCTAAGACCTCGCTTAGGAATATTACTTTTTAAGTTAAAAGTCAAAAAGTCATTAAAAAAATATAAAAAATCAACAAATTATATAAAAAGTTAAATATTTGTTTTCTCCCTACTTTTTGTATGTCTTTTAGTAAAAAATAAAAAAATTATCACAAATATATTAAATTTTTTTTTACCTTATATTTTAACTAAAAAAATTAATAAAATAACATATTTTCAAACGAGTCCTAAGTCTTTTCTAATTTTGTGGAATTTCTATCCCCCTGTCTCTTAGTTCTTTTGTAGCTTCTAATGTAAGCTTTACTGGGTCTTAATGAATTGCATTTTTGCTTTTAAAAAACAAAAAAAAAAAAACAAAACCCTAACCTTTTTTCTTATTTCACAAGCACCTACTATAAAAAAATATTTGAGTTTCTCTCAAAAGTATGAATTTAAAAAAACTTAAAGAGCTTGTAAAATCCATTAGGAGTCGCATTTCAAATAATTTGGACCGTTTCTGTATATGACCTTTTTATGTTATTTATTAAAAAATATTAAGTTGATCAGCCAATCGTAACATTTTAATTTTATTATGTGTTCGAAAAATGGATAATTGGTATTTTTTTTAAAAATAAAACATCAATTTTTTCAGAAACAACTATGATAAAATAAAAATATTATGATTATCAAATTAACCAAATTTATTTTTATAGATGATGTATACAGAAGATCTTATAAAATAAATGATTTAGGTTAAATCCTTCAAAATCTTCCAAATCTAAATTTAAACTTAAAAAAAAAAAAAAAAAAAAAAAAACTCAATAAAAAAAAGGAAGAATTACACGTAGGTGGGAATTGAAAAAAAAAATTACCAACATATACCCCCACAACCTTTTATTTTTACTCTCCATGTATTTGTAATATTTTTTTTAGGGTATTTTTTTTAAGGTCCCTGATCTTATGATTTTACAGTATAAAGGACATCAAATATTTTCATGATGTCTAAGGTCCCTCAACATCAATCCAAAGAAAATTGGTCCAGAGAAAATTCAAGTCAGAGAAAATTGGTCCAGAGAAAATTCAAGTCAGAGAAAATTCAACCCAGAGAAATTTCAGCTCAAACCATAGAATTTCTTTGGACCAATCCAGAGAAAATTCAGTATAAACCAGAAAATTTCTCTGGACCAACCCAGAGAAATTTCAGTTCAAACCAGAAAAATTCTATGATACACACTCAACACACCCACACACCGGGACACTACAACACACACACAGGCACAGATGATACACACGGAGCTGAACACACACTTAGCCATAGATCACCATAAACACCCACATGCACACAGAGGCACAGACATACATTTGAGAGCACACACACCATAGAGGGCACACATACAGAGCTCCATTGCATGAAAGACACTGATACAGAGCCACAACACACACACTGCCATCTATCTCTCTTTCTCTAGAGGACGGACAGATTAAAAAAGACAAAAATGGAAAAAGAGATGAAAGATTTTCAACCATGAACATCCACTGAGACTCCAGAATTGCACCCTCCATGAGCCGTGCTTGGCATCCTTTTGAAGCTAAAAAAAAAAAACATACACGACATAGCTCTCTCTCTCTGTGGAGTTTTTTTGGGTTTTGAGAATGTGGTGGTAGCACGGCGGATTGCATTGGTTTTGAGAATGTGGTGGTAGCACGACGGATTGTACACCAGTGCAATCCTTTCTCAATAAGTTCGTCTTCAAAGTCGACGACAATCATTCTCACCGATAAACGATTCGAACAAGGAGAATCCTCATCTGGTCAACGCTGCTCCGACGAAGATCGAGTCGATCGATGTGTCCCTGGCGGAGGAGCTGAGTGCGATCTGCCAGAAGATCGAACGCCTGAGATTGGATAGAGAGAAGACGGAGAAGATGCCGATAGAGAGGCATTTGGTGATGGAGACGAATTTGAAGGAGATGATGAAGAGAGGTGAGGTCCAGAAGCTGCTTGAGATCGAGGTTGATAGGTTGTTTCGGGTAGAGAAATGTTTAGGGACCTCATACATCAAAAATAATTTTATGGATTTCTTCTATTACGAAAAGTGGGAGAGGGACTCTAGATCGATTTTCCCTTTTTTTTAACTCCCACCAATATGTAGTTCTTAAAAAAAAAAAAAAGAAAAAATAAAAGATGTACGAAGATAACAACCATATGATACCATACAATACAACCTCAAAAAGCCACCATGTAACTAATCAAACTAACTACTTATCCAAATTTCAGAAACACACTCTCTTTACTCATAACGTAAAAAAATCACCCACTCTCTCTCACTCTCACTCTTCACAAACACACCAAAAAAAAAATGCAAACCCTCCAAACCCCTCATCTCTTCACCTTCCTTCCCCCCAAAACCCTCCCAAAACCCTACACCAAACCCCACAACCCTCCCCCCAAAACCCACCACCTTCCCTGCAAAACCCTAGCCGTCAAATCCTCCCTCAGCTCCGACGAGTTCCCCGTCGACGAGACCTTCCTCGAGTCCTTCGGCCCCAAAGAGAAGGAATCCGAGGACGAAGCTCGCCGCCGCAACTGGGTCGAGCGAGGCTGGGCTCCCTGGGAAGAAATCCTCTCCCCAGAAGCCCTTTTCGCCAGACATTCCCTCAACGAAGGCGAAGAAGTCCCTCTTCAAACCCCCGAAGCCATCGAAGCTTTCAAGATGCTCAGCCCTAAGTACAGGAAGAAGAAAATGGAGGAAATGGGTTTGACTGAGGACGATTACTATGCCAAGCAGTTTGAAATTAAGGGTGACATTCCGGAGCCATTGGACACGACGTGGGCTGGGCCGCTGGTGGTCCGCCACGTGCCTCCGAGGGATTGGCCGCCAAGGGGGTGGGAGGTGGATAGGGGGGAATTGGAGTTTATTCGGGAAGCGCATCGGTTGATGGCGGTTAGGGTTGATTTGGAGGAGGTGGAGAAGGAGGCAAAGACGGATACGGAGGGTTTGTGTTTGGATAGGTATAAGGTGTTTTTGAAGCAGTATAATGAGTGGGTCGCGGCGAATAAGGATAGATTGGAAGAGGAGTCTTATAAGGTTTTCTTTGATCTCTCACTTATATGTATGCATTTATGTCTTTTACCATTTACATAATATTTGTTTGTGCAGTTGTTGGCTGCATCTATTTGGGGATAAACACTGACTATAACATAACTTTATTGAAGTGGCAAAAAGCCCAAACAGTTTAAATTGAACTATAATTGGAGTGGAATTCAGCTTAGATTTTGAAAATTGGGAAAATTTTCAAATTATTTTGACAATATGAAACATTTTGTTAACTATGCCATGAATTCTGCATACCAATTGAACGGGAATAATTTTTTGAATAATCAATCACTGAAGGTTTTGTGTAGTCTAAAGTTGGCCATGAATTGGTAAGTTTCAAATTATTTGGTTAATATAAGGCATTGCGTTAAGAATGCCATGAATTCTGCAAAACAATTGAATGGGAATATTTATTTTTTTTTGAATGGTTGAATCACCGAAGTTCTCGTGTAGTCTAAAGTTGGCCATGAATTGGATTCTAGTGGAAATATGTTGGGCTGTCAATCATATTTTTAGTGGATGCTACACTGGAATGACTTATTGCTAGGATAGCATATGCACACTTAATTTCCTCCCTATTGACTAACATAAAATCCTTTTATTTCATTTCAGTATGACCAGGATTACTATCCTGGTAGGAGGAAAAGAGGCAAGGACTACAAAGAGGGAATGGTAGGATCGAAATGGTTTTTTATTTCTTTAGTTTGAATCCATAAAAAGTTGAGCCAGCTCTTGGAAATATGATCTTACTGATCTTTTTTGTTTTCTGCAGTATGAGCTCCCATTTTACTATCCAGGACAAGTAAGTTCTTCAACTCTCCCCCATTCCTACATTGAGATTTCAATTTCAAGCTTATTTCTAAAGTTGTACTTATCATGTTAGTGATACATCCAGGTATACCACACCCATGGAGGGATAAACATACATTTGAAAACAGTATGCATCTGCACAACATGAGGCATGGCATCCCATGTTCATTACCACTTTTAGTCAGTCAGCCTCTCTTGAATGGACCATGATTGTAACAGTGATTTGACTATTACATCATCTTGCATCTACCATTAGGATCAACTTATACCTAGTGTACAACTTTTTATTCTTAGACCCCTAGATACCTCTTTGTTTTTATCATTGGATTGTGAGGCTTGTTCACATTATGTTTTCCAATTCCTACTTGATCAGAGATCAAGAACGGCCTTATTAGTACAGCACTCTAAATTTGATAGTATACTAGGAAATCTTAGTGTTTTTGGATACATTTGCAACCAATCACTTATTAGCTTAAATTTTTTGTAAGCATGAGAGCTATCAGATGGGTATGTAATCAAATGGTTAATTTTGTAAAATGAGGTTCTCACAAGAATATAAAGTATGTAAATTGATCCTGCCACATACTAATAGTCATAACAAATACAGAGGGCTAAAGCCACAACTTTTTGTTCAAAAAAAAGCCACAACTTTTTGTTCAAAAAAAGAGCCACAACTTTGATGGTTGTATCCACAGTCCTCTCTCACATCTTAGAGGGAACATTGTGGATTATAATGAGGCTATCCAAAACATAAAATAAAAGCTTGGCTGACTAATGTGAGAATGCAGGATGAGTGTGAGTTCCATACCTAGTCTACCCTTTTCAACATCCTTATTTATGGGAACCAAACCAATGTGAAGAATGGCTTTTCTGTAAAGAAAAATAAAAAATAAAAAATGTAGCTATTGAACAAGCCTACATTGTGCCCATGTTGTTTGTCAAACCAATATCCTTGCATGCATAAACTCAACTAAGCATTGTCCCAGTTATATGGACTGCTACATATAACATATTTTCACATATATGCTAAAGATAATATTAGAAAATATACAAGATTACACTTTGTGTTCCGAATTGCTCAAGAATTTGCCAGCCTTAACTGAAATCTGATGATATGCAAAGTAATGTCATGGAAATGTCTTTGCAGATTTGTGCAGGTAAGGTGACTACTTTGCACCTTTATCAAGGAGCATTTGTTGACATTGGAGGTGTCTATGATGGGTAACTATCATTCAAGTTGCTGATCCATTGTAGTATTACTGAACTCAAATTGTAAAAGGCTGAACTGAATCAATATTATAAGAGCATAAATCAAACCAAACCAAACCAAACCAAGCCTTAAATCTCATCAAATAGGGTCAGTTACATGAATCCTTCTTCTCCACGCGGCCCTATCAAAGGCCATTTCATTAGTCAAGTTAAGTAGATTCATATTTCTATTTATAATGCTAGTCAACGTTAATCTAGGCCTACCCCGTCTCCTAACACTTCCATCTACCGTTACAGCATCGCATCTCTTCACTACTGCCTCTGTTGGTCTTCGTTGAATATGACCAAACCAGCTCAAACGATTCTCTCTCAACTTATCTTCTATCAGTGCTACTCCTACCCATTCCCGAATACACTCATTCCTAATCCTGTCTTGTTAGTCTTACCACACATCCACCTTAGCATCCTCATCTCAGCCACACTCATCTTATCTACATGTTGTTTCTTGGTTGCCCAACACTCCGTCCCATACAACATAGCTGGTCTAATAGCCGTTCTATAAAACTTAACTTTTAATCTAGTGGGTATTCGTTTATCGCACATGTAGAATATTTTATTTGAACCAATAACTTCTTCCTTTACAAATAATTATGGTACGATTAAATAGACAAATACAACCCCTAGAATGAATGATCATGATTCATGACTGAGCAAATGACTGTGATTTGCGAGAGAGAGAGAGAGAGAGAGAGAAGTGAAACTGGTTTTACTTGTTTGTGCCTAACCCAAGTAACAGAACTAATGCCTTACCTTAGACATATGACCCCAATAGTCTTGTCAATGGAGACTCAAGTGGGAGTTGGTTGACACAAGCTAATATGGATACCTTATAATATCTCTCTCTCTCTCTCTCTCTCTCTCTCTCTATTGTGATAAGTTAGTTGGAACCCGTCCATTGATTGTTACATCTTGTTTGAAACTTGTTATATATTGTCATCTTAAGATAAGATTAACTAACAAGTATCTTTTTTAAAAACAAAGAGGGCGGAACTGACTTGAATTAGATTATGCTAATTCAACCATTTTTAGTTTTAGCCTAAACTATAAATTAGTACAGGAAATAGAACTGCAAATGTCATTTTAATTTTGTTTTCCTGCTAAGTTCATGCATCCAAATGCATTTCAGGTGGGTCCCTATAAAACGTAATGACTGGTACTGGATCCGCCATCACATAAAAGTTGGTATGCACGTCATTGTTGAAATTCTGGTGAGTAATGCCACATATGGTTGATAGGTCCTTTTTTTTCTTTATTTATTTATTTTTATTTTATGGCCTTATAGATACCATCTTTGACATTTTAAAGTTTACCGTTTTAAAACGTCATTTATGCACTGCTAGGAGGTGGGAATTGGTCATGCATAAATAAGGTCTACAAATCAATTTTTGGTCATGATATTATATTTATGGAACTTACTAAGGCTGTGTAACTTGATTTACATTAAAATTGTCAATGAAAAAAGACCTAGATAGCAAAATCATGTTGACATCTGAGTATTTCATAATACTTTTATGTCTCTCCTCATCCAATGGAGGCTTTGAAGTACAGGAGTAAAGTGATTCCAAATAATAAATATGGCACTTCACTAATCAAAGGTCAGACATTAAATTTCATGTTTTGTTGCACCAACGTACATGTATGGCATCAATACCCTTAATCTATGAAGCATGGATACTTTAAATAGGAAGACGTATCCATATCGTATCTGTATCGAATACAGATACTCTTTAGATACTTACGGATACGTATCAGATACTTATTAAAAGTATCGGATACTTCTTAATTAATTTTTCATTAATTTTGAAGGATCAGATACTTAGTTTTGAAGTATCGAATGCTCCAAGTCACATATTACTCCTTTTACGAAATTAGAATTGTATCATTTCTTACATAACATCATAATATAATATAATTGCGAGGATAAATAGAATATTTTTACAATACTTTGCTTAGTTTTTTTTATAAAAATAACATAGTAAGCTAATAGAATTCATCAAACTGACATATCTTTATTGTATCATACATGTCCCCTATAACAACATAGAAGTAAGGATTAATAAGATAATATAACAATAATAAAATTAAATAGCAATAAATAAATAAGCAAATAAACTTGCATAGAATATTTTTGACTAATACAAAAGGAAAAAACATAGGATTAAGTTGTGGATTGTTTTGATATTATAATATTGTGGGTATCTATACTATATTTGGCACGTGGCGAGCCCAATGGGCGTCACGTCAGCACCACTACACATCCATGTGGCAGACCCTGAGACACCACGATGAGTATGTCATCACCATTACGCATTCACGTGGCAGACCCCTGAGGCACCACGATGAGTCGAGATTGAATGCCTAGCCTAAGCGGGGGCATGCACACCACCAAGAATGAAACAAGGCCGCATGGAGCTGGCTCACTTAGAGCTCTTCATGGCCCTTCATAACTCAAGAAATGTATTGTCTACCCACTCACCCAGCTCCATAACAACATAGCCAGACTCTTGGCTCACATATGTTTGGCTCACCTATGTTTACTTGGCTACTGAGGTGAGCCCTTGGCTCACCCATGCATTCACCCTCTTGGCTGCCTAGGTTGGGAGCAGGACCTAGGCACTCCCGCTTGGGATCATTGGAGGATTGTGGATTGGAGGCTAAGACCTCAGGATCGTCAAGGTCGTGTAGCTATCTCCCTGCGGTGATAGCTCCCCTTTTGACCTGGCGTAGAGAAAGAGCCGTTGACCTTACACTTACATCTTATGCACATATGATACGCCTCAAGATATCACACCTACCCCTGCAGTTCCTATGATACAACCTCCCCGAGGACCTGAATCATAGGACACAGCTAGTAGGGCTGATATCACCCTCCTGTCGAGTTGAGGAGAACTTGCCACCTGCCTTGAGGTTGCTTGGGCTCCAATACTCCTGGAGTCTATATAACGGCATCATAAGTGCAGCCACAGACACACAGCAAGAGTACAAGAATCACATAACATACATTAAGTGTTCAAGGTCTCTCACTGCCACCTCTTCCCTCTCTAAGCTTGCCTTGGTCTTCTACTCCTCCACCTCCGGTAATCTTAAGTCATTGAAGTGCCTACCATCTTCCCAGAGGTCAACGACCGATCGCCTCTAATCGCTATCACTCACAAATATCAACATATTAGACTTGATATTGAAATGAAATATTTACAAGACCTATTGAAAATTTAAAAACTAAACTAGTTACTGCCTTAAATTAATAGCTAATTCTTATAGATTAGTATTTTGCATCATAAAGTTACTGTGGTTTCTCAACATTCTTGAGCTTATGTGTAACCCATTGCTAATAATTATTTATTTTTTATTTTTTACAAACGTATCCTAGCCGTACCCGTATCCTACTTTTTTAGATTTTGCTGTATCGCCGTGTCCATATCGCATCGTATCGTATCGTATCCGTACCTCGTATCAGTGTCCGTGCTTTCCAGCCCTTAATATTTGTTTGAATACTCATACGAAATTCCATGAAGTGTTTATTGTTTTTGCTGAGAGGAGTTTTGGAACGAACTCTAGGATTTACATGCACTGGAAATACATAAAACAGTCCCAACAGTTTAGAGCTTAACTTAGCTTTTTTTTCCCAATGGCAAGATCTTTATATTATTTTTTCAGTGTACAGTTTTTACATTTACTCTCAGTTTTAATTGTTCTGTTAATATCATCTACCATGCAGGCAAAACGTGACCCCTACCGGTTCCGGTTTCCTATTGAGATGCGTTTTGTTGATCCTAATATAGATCACCTGATGTATGTAATTTGTACTTTTGAATATTATTCACCCTTGATGTCTATTTTGTTACATTCTAAGGTCAGGTTCTGCTTAGCTGGAAGATATAAGTTATCATTGCTCACTCCTTTTTTTTTTCCTTTTTTTTATTTTATTTGTTCCCATGCTTACAGCTTTAACAGATTCGACTTCCCACCAATATTTCATCGTGATGAGGATACTAATCCAGATGAAATACGTGTAAGTGCCATTCTGTTTCAGAAAGTGCCACGCCTATTACTTTATCCATATCCTCCAGAAATGCTTGCATTAGCCCATGTTAAACTGTAATGTCTTGACTGAATGTGTTTTTATAAGCTTCAGCAAATGAGCAATGCTACAATGACCATCTACTTCTACCATCGTATCTTATCTTACCATCTCATGTGTTAATCTAGTTGTCAGCACTACATTGGAGATATACATTAGTGGTGGGACCTATTACACCAATATAGTGTTGGCAAATAAAATGGTATGAAAATGTGAGAAGTGTAGGATTATTGCCATCAAATTTAGTATATTAATGGTAGATGATGCCATTGTCATGTAAGCATTTTGATGGGCCAATGATCTAGCACTACAATTGGCGTTTGACCACCAATCTTTGATATAATTATTTGTTATTGACTGCTGATTGTTAAACTTTGCATAAATCGACTAATCTGTGGTCGGATCCATCTGTTGGCTAGTCCTCCCAGATTTTTAATTCTTTATATGCTTGAAGGAGAAGGTTCTAGCATTCAAAAGCGTGCTTTATTAATTTTAAGATATTGACCAATTTTGTGATTTTGCCTGCCGTGTGTTTTATTTGCAGCGTGACTGTAGAAGACCTCCTATTCCCATAAAAGATCCAGGAATCAAAGTGGAAGAGGAACCTTTGTTGTCAAATCACCCATATGTTGATAAGGTATTCCTTCAATTATGAATTTTTTCTAATGTGGTTGGCATTTCTTACAAGCATTTCAAATTAAGTATTCCAATCATGGAGATACGTCATTTGTGATATACCATAAATTCATAAGCTCTCATGCGCAGATGCAATGTTCTACAAGGTCGAGAATAATTTGTGATTGAATTTCACGTCTATATGTGCAAAACACTACCAACATGCCAAGATCTGATGTCCTTTTTGTCATCATAGAAAATCTTTTCTAGTGCAAATATGAAAAATATTAGGGAAAAAAAAGATGCCTTGCATAGCATGTTTTACACTAGTTTGCTACCATTATTTCTTAGCAATTTTTTCCCCTAAGTACGCTTTCATTCTATTTTCCAAGGTTTGATGAATTTTATATTGGTACTGCTGTTGAATTCGAAGACCTTGCAACTTTTGAATGTACAAACAAGCACAAATAAAATACACACACTGTCACACATGTAAAAACTGAAGCTTAGCATGTAAATTCCCAATCTTTTTCTTGGTGACTGAGAACCAGAAAATAATTAAGGGGAAGCTTCTAGCTGATTGCATGAACTATCCTAATGGACGTGATGCACAACGAAGGTATTAGATTTTTGTTGGATGTGTAATAATAAGCACAACGGAGACCAACAAAGATAGTAGTGAAGAGATGCGATACAGTGACTGTAGATGGTTGTGTTAGGAGAAGGGGTAGACCTAGATCGATGTGGACTAGTGTAGTAAATAGAGATATGAATATTTTTAATTTGACTAACGAATGGAGAAAAAGGATTCATGCAGCCGACTCCATTTGTTGGGATTTAAGGGTTGGTTTGGTTTGGTATGTAAAAATAAGCCTTTTGCGGTGCAAACTGATATTGAGGCCAATCAGTATACTCTGAAGTCATGTGTGGAAACCATGACTGCGGTCACAAACTTGTCGCACCGGCTGCAGAGCAGGACAAATGAGGTGCAACAGTTAAACTCCCAGCTGGCTCTGCTCCAACGCATGTATAAGGATGCGCGAGCAGAGATAAGTGTGCTAAAGGCAGAAAACAAGGAGCTGAAGCGGAAGGCCACCGTGATGTTTCGATTTGGAGGGCCGCCATATGCTGCAGTGGAGGAGCAGGGAGTAGTGATCATGCCCGGCGGCGTGGGAAACACAGAGGCAGCACTGTCAAGGGCTGCCCAGGACGGAGGCAAGAAGAAAAGACCGGCGGCAGAGTAGAAAAGAAAATCCTGCCTGTGGATGTGGTTGTTTTGTGGTTGTTGTGGTTTTTGTTTTTTTGTTTTTTGTTTTTTTTTTGGTGTAAAATTGGGAGCGGAGTTGATCCCCTGATATGAATAAAATGACAAGGTTGTGGAATGTTGTTGGTGTGATTTTGTGGTGTTGGTTTGTTTAATAATAAAAATAAAATAAAAATAAAACAATGGATAAAGAAAATAGATAAAAATATTTGTGAATGGGTGATATGAAAAATATTGGTGTGATTTTTTATTTTGTTATTTATTTATTTATTTTTTGTGGTAAAGAAATAATAATGAAAAAAGGTTTCGTGGCCCACGGTTTGGGGGAAAACCTGCAAAGGGTTTGGTGTCCTTTTTTTTTTTTTTTTTTCTTTAATTAATGATAATAATAATAATAAGAATATATGAATGGCGAAAGGATGTGCCTCGGTGGGTTGGAAAGTGAAAAAATGAAAGAGAGAAAGTGGGGTACATGATAATGAGGATGATAAGAAGAATAAAACGAATAAAAAAATTGGTGTGGGATAAGGTGGTGGCTTTATTTGAAAGACTAAAGGTAGTGGATGTAAATATTAAAAGAAAAAAGAAGGGAAAAGAGAGGGGTGATCCACGAGGCAAAAAGTCCTTCCCAACAATGCTCTCTAGCACTGAAGACTTCCCAGAGCTCTGGCCACCGATGACGGCGATGGAAGGAAGAGAGTCCCAGAGAGTGGGCAAAGCGCTCTCTTCGCCATGATCGCCTAGAGCAGTGCAAGCTCTTTGTAGTTTGTTGACCAGAGATATCAAGTTCTCCATTCTCGATGTAGAAGACCTAGTCGGTGGTGACGATGACTTTCAGAACTTACTGATCTCTGGTTCGAAAATTAAGATGAGAGAGAGAGATGTGACCTAAATCAGCGTGGTGGTGGGGCTGGGCACAGGGGCGCTTTACAAGGCGGCGTCGGGGCCGAGGTCGGCGGCGGTGGCTGCCGCGATTGGCGGCGTGGTGGTTGTGGTCGACGCTGCGGGCGGCGGCGATGTGGTCGACACCGGAGCCGGAGATGAGGACATTCTCTCTCTTTATATATAGATTGGTATGTATATCCTTCAAATGGTGCTATGTCCCAGAATGCCCAGTCTGATGGTGATTCATCCAATACAACAATATCAGTGACATCAGAGTCAAGCCCTCCCACAAATATACCACTGATGAAGATCTGAATGGGGCAGTTATTGGCAAGCAGACGGTTCGCCTTTCTTGGGGTCGAAGTCCAGGGAATAGGCAGTTGAGAACGGACTCCACAACTCAGGTGAACGGAGCTTATTACGGAAGGCAAGGTTATGGAGGTTTGAATTGGCTGAGATCCGGCGGGCGGTCGAGGCAAGGTTGCCGCCCGCCGGAAGGCGAAGAACACCAAGATCTTTAACCTATAGCTCTGATACCATGTAAGAAAATAGATGTATTATTGATTGATTGATGTATTGATTGTATTATTCATTAATCTATTGAATGTTACAATGATTCCTATATATAGAAGAGTAGGTTGTAGTAGGTGGTAGATGGAGTAGGTAAAGTGGAGGTGGTAGTGGTGTAGTGGGTTAGGTTTAGTGGAGTAGGTGAGGTGGTAGTGGTGTAGTGGGTTAGGTTTAGTGGGTGAAGTAGGTGATAGGTTTTAACAATATGCTTGAAGGAGAAGGTTCTAGCATTCAAAAGCTTGCTTTATTAATTTTAAGATATTGACCAATTTTGTGATTTTGCCTGCCGTGTGTTTTATTTGCAGCGTGACTGTAGAAGACCTCCTATTCCCATAAAAGATCCAGGAATCAAAGTGGAAGAGGAACCTTTGTTGTCAAATCACCCATATGTTGATAAGGTATTCCTTCAATTATGAATTTTTTCTAATGTGGTTGGCATTTCTTACAAGCATTTCAAATTAAGTATTCCAATCATGGAGATACATCATTTGTGATATACCATAAATTCATAAGCTCTCATGCGCAGATGCAATGTTCTACAAGGTCGAGAATAATTTGTGATTGAATTTCACGTCTATATGTGCAAAACACTACCAACATGCCAAGATCTGATGTCCTTTTTGTCATCATAGAAAATCTTTTCTAGTGCAAATATGAAAAATATTAGGGAAAAAAAAGATGCCTTTCATAGCATGTTTTACACTAGTTTGCTACCATTATTTCTTAGCAATTTTTTCCCCTAAGTACACTTTCATTCTATTTTCCAAGGTTTGATGAATTTTATATTGGTACTGCTGTTGAATTCGAAGACCTTGCAACTTTTGAATGTACAAACAAGCACAAATAAAATACACACACTGTCACACATGTAAAAACTGAAGCTTAGCATGTAAATTCCCAATCTTTTTCTTGGTGACTGAGAACCAGAAAATAATTAAGGGGAAGCTTCTAGCTGATTGCATGAACTATCCTAATGGACGTGATGCACAACGAAGGTATTAGATTTTTGTTGGATGTGTAATAATAAGCACAACGGAGACCAACAAAGATAGTAGTGAAGAGATGCGATACAGTGACTGTAGATGGTTGTGTTAGGAGAAGGGGTAGACCTAGATCGATGTTGACTAGTGTAGTAAATAGAGATATGAATCTTTTTAATTTGACTAACGAATGGAGAAAAAGGATTCATGCAGCCGACTCCATTTGTTGGGATTTAAGGGTTGGTTTGGTTTGGTATGTAAAAATAAGCCTTTTCCCAGCCCAAGCAGCTGATTGATAATTTGCTTTTTTAGTACATCTTAGCTCTACTGATACTATACCAAATTTCATTAGCTGCCAAGAATGACGGATTACGATTACATTTTTTGTATACCCCCAAAATATTCATGAGAATTTTGTTTTCTTCATCTTTTTTATTTTTATTTTTTTATTCTTTCATTATGTAAAATAGGACTCGGAAAACGCCATTGTTAATGTAAGCTATAAAATGGCCATTTCTAGTGTTGGTCCCATGATGCAAGTGCTGGATAGCTTGATATATATTGTTGAACCCATTTCTTAACAATTTAAGCTTTTAGGACAATTAGTGATCTGAGATGGTATTAGAGCTTAGTTTGTGAGAGGTCTTGGGTTCAAGTCTCTCCCTTTGCATTTGGTCTCTATTTGGATTCTTTCTTTCCCGTTTGCATTATGCTTCTTTCTATATATGTCTATTTGCATCTCCACATGTAAGACAGATGGGGTTGCACATGAGGGAGGATGCTGAATAGCTTAATATACATTGTTGGATCCATTTCCCAACAGCTTAAAACATTTAGCACAATTTGTGACCTACAGTAAGATGCTTGGAGTGGAGTGGAGTGGAATTGCTGCTCTAAGACATGATTTTGTTCATGCTTGACAGCCCAAGCATGAAATTGAGGATTCTCAATATTTTTTCAAAATTTCTCAGCTTCCTTCTTCAGTATTGTTTCTAGGCAAGTACCTATTTAATCTAATGTTATCAAGCCAATCAGCGAAATCCTAACCAGAATTTAAGAAGCCACCTTTAATACATTCGCAAATGTACTTGGCAAAAGGACGTCCTTGAAGAATCTCATATGTATTCTTTGGATATTTATAACATTATGTGAATTAACCTAGAACAACATTAATCAGTTATGCATCTTCAATGGCAACTCTCTATGATACCACTTGACCATGTTATGCAATACTATATTCCAAACAAGTACATTTGTTTTCCGCCATTACACTGATAAACTTATTTGGGTACTTACCTCGTTTGGGAACCAGCCCGTTTAGTCAAAAAGCTAAAAAGTTACTAAAAAAGCCAAAAAGCCAACAACCCATACCAAAAAGTCAAAAATTCTCCTTTCTCTCTACTTTTTGCACATTTTTTCGTAAAAAGTCAAAAAGTCATCCCAAACATACTAGTTTTTTTTAGCTCATATTTTAGCCAAATAGCCAAAAAGTTACTAAATTAGCCTGTTCCCAAACGAGGCCCAGTATATCAAAAACTGACATGATTTTTGGTAACACCTCTTCATATCAAAAAGGCCAATTCATATATATGAATTTCCCTTTTTTATTGGGGAGGTCAAATATTTTTGTGGAAGACGTTCTAATATTGGTATACTGAGCTGAGCCTTGAGATCTTTTGGGATCCATGTTGGATGCTGACAATTGTCTTTGTGAGATTGTTACATATAAAAGAATGGATAATGGAAGCTGAATAGCCATTCATCTTTTGTTTGAATGCTTTATTCAATGGTTGACTGAGAATCTAATTCAATCTGGCAATTCTGTGAACTATATTTCATTTGTTTTTTGAATTATGTTTTGCTGTGCAGATTTGGCAGATCCATGTTGCTGAACAAATGATTCTGGATGATATGGAGACTAATCCTGATAAATATGAGGATAAAAAATTGACAGAGTTAACTGATGATGATGATTTTGATGAGGAAAACAGTGTTGAATATACCAAAGCTTATTATAAGAAAACTTTAGTACCAAAAATGATTCTGGTAAGCATCTTCCTTATGACACAGCATCAATCTGTTTGTTAATGCATTTTCGTGACATAGGTGTTCCTACTTTTTGCAGAAAACAAGCGTCAAAGAACTCAACTTGGAAGCTGCACTTGCTGAGCGTCAGGTTAATTAATCCATTGAATTGTGGTTATTAGATGTTTCACTCTTATGACAAATATTTTTCTTAAAGAGTGGATTATTATACATGAATTTAGGACTCTGTTATCATCTATGAAGCACGGACATTTCAACTTAATAGTCATGTTGGTGTCGGACACACCAGCGTACATTTCAGACACGTCACGTAGCGTGTCCATTTTGTAGTTACTTTTTCTCCACCAGACATTTTGGGGACACTTTACAGATGCACATGCCTCTGGACACACCCTGAGACACCGTAATCTTGCCATGATTTGTAAAAAGTCTCATACATTCATAGACACACCTCTATGTAAACATGTTGTCAGTGTTAATCAATACTATGCAGTTTTCTCTCTCTTACTCTTTTTTTTTTGTTGTAGGTCTACTCTTTAAATAATACAAATGAGTGGCATTCTGTCCCTTCAATTCTGAATTAATAGTTTGATTGCTGAAATTGTTGAATTGTCATTCTGATGATATTGATGAAGAAAAACAACCCTGATTTAATGATTTATAATTCATAAAGTAAAATAAATTGTATTTCTATATTTAATGAAGTTTAAAATATGGATTTAGTGGTGTTTTCATGCGTTAGTTTTTCTTTATTTTTACTTGTTTGTGGATTTAATAGTCATATATATCAAATAAATTTTTTTGCTGTATCCGCACTTCTGTGTTGGAAGAGATTTTTGTAAATCGTCATGTCCCATGTCCATATGTGTATCCATGCTTGTTAGGTTATTGTATATCTGTATCGTGTTTAATTTTGCAAGTGGGTCAGGTTCTGCTTAATTTCATAGGAAATTCTACAGAACCAGAAAGTTACCATGAATTTTATGTCAATGGTTTACATTTAAAGTAGTTGCTGTGGGGCCCCATTTTAAGTGAATCTTATCCATTGATTTCAAATTCTCCCCCCACCCCACAAAACACCCCCCCTTTCCCTTCTGGGACTGTAGTATTACCCCCAAAACATCCCCCCTTTCCCTTCTGGGACTGTAGTATTATTGTAATTTCATACGGTTCTTGTAAGACATTGATAGATCTGAAAGGGATCAGATGGAACTTTTACAGCTTCTGTCCTCTTAGCCTATGTTTGGATCATGGGTTTGAGTATAGATTTGGAAAGGAAAAGGAAAAAAGTGGGTAAAATGTGAATGAAATATAAGCTAAATTTTTTCTTCATCTCTCTTTCCATTTTCAAATCTCTATCAAAATCTATGATCTAAACACAACGTTAATATCTTAGGTTGGACTCTTTTGGGTCCTGCCTACATGTATATTGTAAAAATTGATGTGTATTATTGATTGATATATATTGATATCAATTACAATGATTCATGATTCCTATATATAGAAGAGGGTGAGTGTGTAGTAGGTAAGGAGTAGGTGAAGTGGAGGTGGTAGTGGTGTAGTGGGTTAGGTTTAGTGGAGTAGGTGAGGTGGTAGTGGTGTAGTGGGTTAGGTTTAGTGGAGTAGGTTTAAGTGGGTGAAGTAGGTGGAGAGTAGGTGGATTTTAACATATATCAACCCTTTTGTCTTCTTTTTTTCCTTGTCTATTTCTTCTTCTTCACTTGCACCTTCTTCTTGCACAAATTCACACTTCATTCCTGCATCCACGCATACATTCTATCAATTAATATGAATTTGTATCATGATAAGTTTGTCTGCCCTGATTTTGAATACAAGTTTATATGCAAATGCAATTTGTACCTGTCTAAAGCCCTTTTTTTCAAGTTCTGTTGAGTTTATATGCAAATGCAATTTGTACCTGTCTAAAGCCCTTTTTTTCAAGTTCTGTTGCGCTTGGTGACTATATCTACATGCTATGCAGCTGAATACTGTTATCTTTCAATACAGCTCCATAATAAACTGAGAAAGGAAGCAAAAGAAAGAGGAGAGGAATATAAAGTTACCAAGATGAGACGAAATATTGAAATGGATGAATATGACTTCATCCACTGGCGCCGATCATTCGAGGAAAGAGAGGCTCTCATCAGAGATATTAGCTGGTAATCTCATTTGTCTTATTGTCTTTCCTTTCATTTTTACATACTTCATATGATTACCTGTCAAGTAATCAGCATGGTTATCAGAATCGGAGGGTCCTTTAGTTTAATTCACTTATTTAGATCGTATTATGATTGAACTCGAGTGCATTGTTTGCTTTCCCGTTGTAAAAAGTGAAGAAATGAACGTAACAAGGCCCAAATTCGAATGATTAATGTTAGCCTTCATGCCACCTAACCATTGTTCTCTCTTTATTTGTTTTGATTTTCCAGTACATATTCAATGCATGTAGTCATCTAGATTTTTGATGAATAAAATATATAATTTTTTAACAGTTAAAACTGATTGAACCACTGAACTGTAAACCCAGATCCTTAACATTTGATTTCCGGTTCAATATCAGTGAACATTTCTTACCTTTTATTCCTGTGATAGAAATGCCAAATCTGATATTGCAACTTGAAATTAATTTTACCGTCAAGGGTACTTGATTGCAATGTTTTATGTCGGATTGCCTTTACATCATACTAGTGCTATTTTCACCATTATCGCACCCATCCTAACAGTAATATGTAGTTTGGGCTTCTGGTATTTTGGAACTCTGTATTGCTATCTAGATCAAATGCATTTAGACTAAAAATGCATCAATTTTGGATCTTTATGGTTTTAGACTAAAAATGCATCAATTATAGATCTTTATGGTTGTTTTTTTGCTTGATTTGCATTATATTACAACAATGACTAGATAGATAGATTGTAAGATTATTTTGCATAATTTTTTACTTCACTTCTTGATTGACCATATGATTCTCACACAGCCGTCAAGCGCTTGGCCTTCCATTGGAAGAGCCCGGAAGGTTTGTAGATGCCAGTTATTTTGGAAAAGACCAATACGACCCTGCAGACCCTTTATACCGGTATGACTACTGGGGAGAACCCAAGAATTCAGAAAAGAGTCGGCAAGAGCGGATGACTGATGCCCACAACAAGTCCATTGTCGGCAAAGGCACCGTTTGGTATGAAATGTCTTACGAAGATGCGATGAAGCAACAGATGCAGAGAGGAACGGTGCAAAAAGAGTTTGATGATGAAGAATATGAAAGAGAATACGACGACGACGACGACGACGACTTTGATTATAGCATTCTAGGAGACCCTAACGCGAGTTTTCCAAATCCACCTCTTGTTAATGGGACTGAATCTTCTAGAATGTCCGATGAGGGTATGTTTGAGAATTAGTTGAGGAGAAATTGGTGGATTGTAAGTGTGATTTTTTTGTAATTTGTACATAGTGAGAGGAGCGTAGAGAACAAGCTACGGCGGGGCAAGCACATTTTTGTTGGGGGTAACTTGTATCATCCATTGTCATGTTGTAATGTAATAGTAGTGCATCATAAACAGAAATAAGGGAGGGAAAAAAAAGGACCTTTATTTATGTTTTTGGCATATCGTTTTGTGTTTCAAAGTGTGGTTTCTGCTATCAATGGCATCTCATGACTAGCTATTCCAGTCAATCACAGTTAATTATGTTATTAGTCTTTTCTTTTTTCCCAGTAACTTTGAACTACGGGTCAGCATTGGGTCAGGCCAGGTTGAACGTTGCGGGCTTTTTTTGGATGGATTGAAGGGACATGCAGGCTTAGCGTAATGGATTGAGATTTAAGCCTAATCAGTCTTCGTTTGGGAGAATTAAAATAGTTTGACTTTTTGACTATTGTAGCTTAACTTTTTGAGTCTTGTTTGGTTTTTATTTTTGACATCTATAAAAGAAAAAGTATAATGATTATGGTTTGAATGTGACATGCTGTCTTATTGACTTATGTAGTCAATTTTGTCTTTTGTATTTTTTTTAGTCAAAAATCCATTGCCAAATAGTGTCTAGTTTTAGTATTTTGAATTCAGTTTTTTGAAAATGTGGTTTTTTATTTTTTGTTTTTCATGTTTATTTTATTTTATTTTAGTGAATATTTTTTAAATTTTAAGTATTTTTTATTTTATTTTTTTAGATGTATCTTATTTAAATGTATTTAAATAATAAAATATTTATGAAAAATTATTTTAAAAAATTAATAAATACACAAAAAGATGAAAAAATATACTGAATTTTTATATATTTTTATATTTTTTGATATTTAGTGTATTTTTTAAATATTTTTTTAACAAATATTATACTTTTTAAGTGTATTTATATTAAGACCAAGTTTAACATATTGCAAAAAAGTCAAAAAGTTAAAAAGTTAACATATTCATCAAAAGCCAACAATTATGGCTACACAACACTCAATCTTAATTTTTTCCTACAAATCAATTTTTACAATTTTTTATTACACATTTTTTCATAAAAAGTCAAAAAGTTAACCAAACATCCATATTTTTTTTCTCAATTTTTTAGTCTAAAAAGACAAAAAATACACTTATTTAGGACATCTCAAACAACCCCTAAGTATACCTAAAAATTTAAAAATTTCATTGAAAATATTAAAATACAAAAAATAAAAAAATAGAATTTTTTAAAAATTGTTTTCCGAAACAAGCTGAATCATTTTCCTCCCTAATACAAAGTCTGTAGCAACATTACCATACAACTGAAGAACATTCAGAGCTAAATAACATGCTTGTTTAAAAACATGAACAAACTAGAAACTCCATTTCATGAAATTCAGATAATGAACCTAAAAAAAATGAAAAACTCAGTCTTCTGTTCAAAACCTACAACATGGCTATCTCAAGAAACTGAAAAAACTGTCAAATCCCCGTATTTCTGAACTACCTCGCAACGACATAAACTCCGCATCTCAAGATCTGGAAATGCTACTGTTGTTGTAAAACCTCATATTGAACTTCTATGTAATGCAGTCCCAAAGCTGCAGAGGTCAAGTGGGTGGGGGCTTCGAAAAGCCTCTTACATTACCATCCCTCCGTCAATGGTGAAAACCTGCAATAATGCAATTCTATCTCTGATAACCTCTGTCCTCCAAACAGTACGGAAAAAAACCGTAACTATATTCCGACAAAAAATAAGAATATCATATTAAATTAGCATTACCTGTCCGGTAATGTAACTAGCAGCAGGATTAAGAGCCAAGAATTCAACTAGCCCGGCAACTTCTTCTGGTTGACCGTACCGTCCTGTTTTCACAATTGACAGTAAGGATTTAGCCGAATGTCCAACACAGGTACTTCATGCATGTAGAAGAGTTCATGTAACACAGATCTAAATAAATACAATGACGCATGAAGTATCAAAGTTTGATCATTCTCTAATAGCTCTGTTTTGTCTATCAGCCAAAATCCCTGCTACTACAAAGAAAACTTGTGAAGGATGGAGAAGTTCAACTTCCTTTTTCATGAAAAAATTATACTTCTGAACTGAATCCCACACAGAAATTGCCAACTAATTAGAAATCTGAACCAGTGAAGTTAAGCAAATGCATTCAACATGGGCATTGGAGGGCATGCTCACAACGAAAAGTTAGTTTCACAAGTCCTGATATCTACATTAAGAACTAATTCCATTAAACTCATCCAACAGGCTGAACCAAGGGTAAGGACTTATAATGCAATTTCATTCATAATAAAGGACAACATTTATTCCAAAAAACAAAGCAAATTTATTTGCATTCTCACCCAAGGGAATGGTCCCCAAAATTTTCTTTTCGATGTCCTCTCCAAGCTTAGAGGTCATATCCGATGCAATAAACCCTGGAGCCACAGCATTAACCTATGGAAAAAGAAAGATTTAGTTTTATTGTATTGCATCAAATTATTGAATCCGTTCCCTTTTTTTCCCTCCATAAATCTCTCCCCAAATCCAAGACCCAAACACAACCTAAATGTAATAAGCATTATGAATATATCTGATATTGTCTTACTACTACGATGAACAGACATTGGTTCGGGGCACTTACATTTAGATTCCTGCTTGCATATTCCTTTGCAACGCTCTTGGTAAAGCCAATCACTCCTGCTTTTGCAGCACTATAATTGGCTTGGCCAGCATTGCCAACCAAACCTACGACAGATGCTATATTGATAATTCTTCCCTGAAAATTGAGATCAGACTGAAGCTATAGAAGCAAGGAATTATTAAGATTAAAGTAAATCCTATGCATAGAATATTAGAGTGAAAAAGTTCCACTTTGAAGTATTTAACAATCTGGAGTAACGTTTCTTTCATTCAATTTCTAAACTAAACTCAAAAAGATAAATCATAATGCAAGAGTTGATCAAAAGCATGTATAACTTATAGGCAGAGTGAACCACGTACAACCCTGCTCTTTCACTAATCAATCGACCACAGCTTGTGGGAGATAAGATAAGGCATATGTGAAGATTACCTTTTTCTTTTTCATCATAACTTTTGCTGCAGCCTGCAACCAGAATAATAGTCTTAGGTATGAACTGAATGGAAGAGATTTGAATACATACTACAGATAATCACATCACTGTTGGCTTCGGCCTCCAGGTTACCAAAAAAAATAAAAAAATAAAAAATAATCACATCACTGACTGCACACAGACCTGTGTGCAGAGAAATACTCCTGTAAGATTCAAATCAATAACATCCTGCCACTGGGATTTTTTCATTCTCATCAACAGCCCATCTCTTGTAATACCTAAGACCATTGTAAAGCAGTATGTGAATGGAAATACAGAATAGTCCCATGAAAAATTGCATGTTAACTGTTGCTAACCTGCATTATTTATCAATACATCAACTGTTCCCCATCGATCAACTGCCTGCATGCATAAGAACCAGATAAAAACTTGTCACAACGCAAGCATCTACTGTAAGAAAACTCAACAGTAAATTTTTAACACCCTGAGAATAGTTTGCTCACTGTTTTAATCATTGATTCTGCATCATCTTCTTTTGAAACATCACCTCCAAAAGTAAGAGCTTGGCCACCACATGCCTCAATCTACAGCATGAACTGTAATTGCTTACAACTCTGTTGTCCTCAACATAATCTCAAATATTATTTGCATAAAGAATATGATATATTGATATATGACATGACATGATCATAGATAAACATACAAATAGAAAAACCTAAAACACAAAGTCTCATGGCATGACTAACAAAATAAATTTAAGCACGTTTTATTACGAAGAGGAAAATAAATTAGTTTCAGTAATTGAGATTCTTTATCAATTTCAAATAGGCATATTTTGACTAAAAATCACAAGCGCAGGCACAGACATGTAAGTCTAATATAATCAAGCAATGTGATGTGTTTGCTTTTTGCAGCTGGAGCACTAGGCCCTGTAAATAAGCTAATACCAATACTTTCTTTTGCAAGTTATCTGTTATCTTATCCTTGATCAATCCTAATTGATTTGTTTCTAGTACGTACGCACTATAAATATGTATCCATCCAGTGTGTACTACATAAACCACCAGGCAGTATATGTGATGGCACCAAGTACAGATTTCTATAGGTTTATACACTAATTTTTTCTTCAGAAAACATCTCACAAATATGAAGAAGTAGCAGAGCACAAGGAATTCCATAATGCAAACATAAAAGTTTTTGATCTTTAGAAAGACTAGTGAGATTTTATCTCACTATCTGAAAAGCCTAAAGTAAAAAATGTAACTTCAGTAAAATGGACGGATAAAATATCGTTTGGGGAGTTCTATAGAATGGTTAGATCTAGTTATTTAAACAAACATAATAGCTATGAAGCACGGGTGCAAGTACTGATATTGATACGGGTACATTACGGGTATGCCGATACCGCAAGACCTAAAAAAAAATTGAAATAGGATACAGATACGGCTGAGGTACGTCAATAAATTTTTATTTTTTTTAATAATTTATAGTTTCAAATTCAATCTACAATCAAAGTTCAATACCAAAACTAAAAGGAAAAAGTACAAAATCAAAAGAAAAATCATAGTTTAACAATACCAATACCAAAACAAAGTCCATAGGCTAATTTAATGCCATTAAATAGAAGAAATTACAAAACAAAGTTCCATTCCAAAAGCAAGCTAAGTAAAATTTGAAAACTTAAAATTTCAATTTTCACTTCCACCAACTTCATCATTGAATAATATATCTTTCCTTTCTAGCACATCAATTAAAGGATTTGCAATTTCAAGTAAATCAAAACTCTCTAATAAATTAAACATATCTCCACCAATGTTCCATAGTTTGGTGTACCTCCGATGTACCCATCTCGTACCCATAGAGTAACCAACTGTCAAAGAATGCATAAAAAGTACCCGGTATGTATTTCGAGTACCCGGTACGCATGTAGCCCTATCGGTACGAGTACCAATACCCAATAAGTATCCGGTACGAGTACGACAACATTTTTGGAGTACCCATGCTTCATAGCATAATACCATTGTCTTATTGCTTGTGAAAATACATATTAGATTCCTTAATTTGGCATTCTGCATAATTTCTCTATAGTAAAAATTTAGTTGGGTTTGTGATTCAAGACATGGATTTTTAGAATGTCAAAGAGAAGTTGCATAAATATAGTGATTATAGCCAAACGTCATTAACTAGTTTGATGGGGGAAAATAGGAAATGATACCAACAAACAATGAGCAGATTAACCATCAATAATAGAAACGAACCTGAAAGCAGAATTTTTTGTATTGCACCATCACATCCTATCAAATGCTTTGTAAGATGATTTAAAAGAATAAGACAAACCTCTTTGGAGACCTCTTCGGCCTCTTTTGATGACCTCGCATAGTTCACCAGGACCTGTAAAAGCACATTGGAGTCCACAATTATAAGGATTAATTTGAAAAAGCTAATGAGAAAGTTAACATTTCCAAAATGAACATAATACAATGGAAACATACTTGAACTACAAGTAAGAGTTTCAAATAATGCAAGATTATGTTAACTGCATAATTTGAAAAGGTTCGCTCATCCCTCATGACTCGCAAACAATACAAGATCAGAATGCCTCATTCACGATAGTAGGTGGAGGCGATTATGGATGGCTCTAAAAGAAAAATGTTAATGGACAAGCAATAAAATGGCTCTCATTACAATAATATTCTAAAGCCAAACTAAACATCAAATGATATTGCTGCAGTACAAGAGCTTTCTTGTGATTGGTCTTATTTTGCTTGCAAGACTCATAGAAATGTTATTATTGAAAACACAAGGTCCTGAACATTATATGCAAAATGGGAATGAAAGTAGAGTTAGCAGTGTTTCCCTAAATTGGCCAGCATATTAGTTCCTCAATTAAGAATTCCGACGGTCAGCATCATCACTTCACTTTTTTCCTACCAGCAGATGCTGCTAGCCAACATGCAACCCAATCATATTTATACATGCCAGGATATATATGTTGGTCATAAAAAGGTTAATGATAAGAAAGGAGAAGAAAACGTTGGTTGCACAAAACAAAGCATACTTATGTAGTGCGTACAATGTACAACTAAAAAGATCCATATTTCTTTCCTGCACAAAAACTGCAACAGTGATCTAAGGGATTTAACCAACTGAACCAATGACTTTTTTTTTTTAAAATAAAAAAAAATAAAAAATAAAAACATACAATGAGAATAAAATGCATCTATCCGGCAAGAGGAATTTAATTGCTAATTGATTAAGTATTCACACAATTTTTCAAATGAAAGAGTGGCTGCTCCAACATGAACAATTCTAAAACTGGTATGGCCAAATATTTCTCTAAGTCGTTCAAAATGTCCTTTTGAATACTGTCTAAAATGTACATTTATGTTTCAAATTTTTTCCCTCAAGTTATAACTACCAAAGTAATTGCTGATAGTGTATACACACCTACAAACCAAATGGAAAATCACTAAACAGCAAAATGTTAAATTCAGTATCCATTTTATAGTGCCCGTTGAACTAATGGAAAATAAACTATATCAGCATCATCTTTTGTTTCCTGTTGAAAGCCCTGGCAGACCATAGATGGCTATATATTTGTCATTGATGTTTTAAAATTATTTCAGAAAAAAGCAAGCAACACTGACCTTACAACCAGCTTTCCCCAAAGTTAATGCAATTGCCTTGCCGATACCTCTAGAAGCCCCAGTGACAATAACAACTGGAGCTTCAACATTCTGAGCAATGTCGACACCTGCTTGTTCAACCGCCAAAGCCTGCGCTCTAAAACCTATACATGCCATTTTTCTCAATCAAATCATGCACACACGCATTTCTACATAGAATCCACACTTCTACTTTACATACACATTGTTTGTTGATTTTCTGCTCAATTTCCATAAATATTACCTATATAAACAAACTTCAAAAATCACCACAGATAGATGCCGAACTAATGCTCATCGACTAACTACATTAAATGTCGTTAGGACCACAAATTTGTAACCATATATAGTACGAATGTGGGAGATACTTGAACCGTTTTTTTTTTTAAGTTTTATTCTTATAAAATACATTAAAGTGAGCATGCTTTTCCATAACACACATTAACATCTCCATTGCAACACCCACATACTCACTAAACTAACAAATCTTAACATATAAAATGGGGCCTCAACTTTTATTAAAAGTTGGGTAAACTATAAATACACCTCTTGAGGTTTGTCTAAAATACAAACTTCCCCTCAAGTTTTGAAAAATACATTTTGTCCTTTGAGGTTTCAAATCACATGACAAATACCCCTTTTTATTAATCAAATGCTAGGTCAACTACCTGGTTTTGCTAATGTCAGTAATTTTATTTATTAAAATACCTATTTAATCATCAATACTCTTTTCTCTACACCCAAAGAAAACAAAAAAGAACCAAAAAAAAAAAAATGGAGGGGAGGTGATGAGATAGCTACAATAAAGGGGTGAAGTAGGGGGGAAGAAATGTGGCAGCCGTGGCAGAGTAAGGGAGTGATTTGGAGAGTCGATGGAGGTGATGGTTGTCACTGTTAGGGATGACAATTTAAACCCGACCCCCCTGACTTCGAATTGAGTGGGTTTTCCCCGAAAAATATCCTCGACGGGCTGGGGATGGTATTCAAAAGTCAATTCCCGATGACATTCAGGCCGGGGACGGTGATACATTTCTAAGCCCTGGCCCCGATCCCCGCCCGGTTTAGCCCCGATATAAAATTACAAGTATGCCCTTGTTTATATATGTATGTGTGTGTATGTGTTTAGGGCTTGGTTGAATCAATCACAACATAAACACAAACAAGCTCACCCTCTCTCTCTCTCTCTCTCTCTCTCTCTCTCTCTCCCTCCCTCACCGCCGCTCCTCCCTCACCACCGATCTTCAAAGGGTATCTCTTTATCTGTCTCTTGCATTAAACTTGATCTAGGGATTTCAGATCTGAGTGTATATATGTGTATAAATATGTATGTATGTATCAGAGTATTGGACCTCAGAGTATGTATTGGAGTATCTGAGTGTATGTATTACTGTTCTCGATTTCGACCTTTGTCTTTTCTTTTTTTTTCATGGATACTGAGTGTATATATATATATCTGAGTGTATACATGTATATATATATATGTTTGTATCAAAGTATTGGACCTCAGAGTATGTATCAGATCAGAGTATCTGAGTGTATATATATATGTTCTGTTACTGACCTCTGTTTTTGTTTTTTGTGTTTTTTAGTTTTGTCATGGATACAAATAAACTGAGTACCAAAATGTGTGTTGATAATCTAGGGCATGGATGTGTGTTGAATATGAGTCTTATTTCTAGTGGATTTAAAGATATAAATTGTTGTGTTATGCTGATTGCTGCTTGAAATTATACCCAATTAGCTAAGAGAAACAGGTAGGAAAAATTAGTTAAGAGAAGGGGAAGAAGAAAGGGAGGGTGAGAGAGTCTAGCTAAGAGAAAGGGAGGGTGAGAGAGTCTAGCCAAAAAAATTGACTGACTTCAATAACAACTTACCAAGCTAACTCCAAATGTTTCAATCTGCTAACAAATTTATTTCCAAACACAAAATTAACACAACCATGTAAATGTGAAAAACATAAGATGAAGTTCTAAATTGTCTTCTTTTTTTTTTTTTTTTAATCTACTCATGAATTGCACCAACCAAACAACAGTTCCATTTCATTGATTGACCTCCTCAAATAACATCCGCAGTTTACTTCTCAACTTGAAATTATACCAAATAGTTCTATTATATCAACAAATCAAATGATTGGACTGTCCTTCACCTTGTTGTTCAGCAGATGCTTCTTCCAAAGCTTTTTCAAGCTTTGTTTTTGTTGGAAAGATGCTCTTACAACAACCAGTTAGATAATTGAAACTCATTTAATTTCTACACAAAAACATCATGAATGCAGAAGGAAGAACTCCATTTTATGTTTTTCTTGCTTTTCTATTTCACTATTTTTTGGAGCAACTATTTCAATCCCATGGTTCTGCCTACTCTATTCTTCATCACTGACTGTACTATGGTTGGATTCCTACCCGCATTGTTTTGTTCTAATGTTGTTACTTATCATTTTAGTACTACTAGCTTTCAAGTTGTGTTTGTTTCATTGGACTAGATTACATGAGAGATTATTAGGCTTAGGATTAATAATTCTAGAATTACACAATGACAATGCTGCATCTGTTTACTTATCATTTTAGTACTACTACATAATTCTAGAATTACACAATGTTGCCTTTGTTTATGTATTTCATTTTATTTTTATAAAGGTAAAAAATGTCAGATGTTAACTCTCAAGTACCAGTTGAGAGCGAGGCCTCAGAACAATCATTGCCAGTTACCAACTCACCGTCTCCCCTCTCTAATCAAAATGTTATTGATTTAGAAGACGAGTCTAATATTTGTGGAGGAACTAAAAGAAAACCTAGTGTTGTGTAGGAACACTTTAAGAAACAACAAGTCAACGGGGGTGTGAAAGACAATATGTAATTATTGTAATAAGCATCTTGGTGCTGATTCAAAAAATGGAACTAAGCATTTGCATGATCACTATAAGAGTTGTACTAGGAAAAAAGTAATGGATATGAGACAAAAAGTTTTAACTAACAACTTTAATAAAGAGAGTCCAAAAATAAATTCTTATATTTTTTATCAAGATTGTTAGGAAAGAGTTGTCACATGCCATAATACTTCATGAATATCCCCTCTTTATCGTAGATCATGTTGGTTTTAAACGATATTCAGCAGCACTTCAACCATTGTTTAAAGTACTTTCTCGAAATACAAAGAGTGATTTTAAAAATTTATAATTATGAGAGGGTGAAGACATTGAGTTTGGTGGAGCATAATAAAAGTAGGGTAGCAATCACAACTGCTATGTAGACTGCTAGCAATCAAAAGAAATGATTCATGGCTGTCATCGCATACTTTATTGATGATTCATGGACATTGCAAAGTCGCATTTTGAGGTATATATTTGTAAATTTGCAAATCATTTAAAAGTTCTATCTTATTCAGTTCAATTTGCATGTTATTAATACTTGTTCATGAATATTATATTTTAGGTTTATTTATGTTCCACGTCCACACACAAAAGAAGTTCTTTGCGATACTTTGCTTGAGTGTATGATGGACTGGAATATTGATAGAGAAATCTCTACTATTACTGTTGATAATTGCTCCACAAATGATGCCATGATTACCATATTGATGGATAAGTTGAGTAATACATCACTTTTGTTGGATGGTACTTTATTTCATATGCGTTGTTGTATGCATATTTTGAATTTGATTGTGAAAGATGGACTAGAGGTCATACGAGTGGGTGTGGAGAAAATTCTGGGGAGTGTAGCTTATTGGACAGCAACACCAAAAAGACAAGAAAAATTTGAAAAAACAGTCAATCAATTGCGTAATCCACATACTAAGAAATTAGAACTTGATTGTGCAACTAGGTGGAATTCAACCTACTTAATGCTTCAGACTGCCTTATTGTATAAGGATGTCTTTTCTCGGTTAAAAAATAGAAAGCCCCAATATAAGACCGTGCCAAGTGAGGAAGAATGGGAGTTTGCTAGAGAAATTAGTGGGAGGTTTAAGATATTTTTTCTATCACAGAGTTATTTTTTGGTACTAAGTATCCCACAGCCAATGTTTGTTTCCCAGTTTTATGTGAGATTAGGATGACACTGTCTCAATGACTCTCTTGTGAAATTGAAGTGATTAGAACAATGACATCAAAAATGATGGAAAAATTTGACAAATATTGGTTAGTGATACATGGTGTTATTGGAGTTGCTGTTGTACTTGATCCTAAGTATAAGATGAGTGTATTGGAGTTTTATTTTGAAAAACCTTATGGAGTTAAAGCTGAAGATGAAGTTGATAGGGTTCTTCAGATTTGTTATGATTTGTTGCAAGAGTATTAGCACCAAGTTGGTATGGAGACCGATGTTGTTGGAGACTCTTTTATTCATCCAGAAATTGTTACAGAGACCCTTTCAGAGTATGATTTGTTTATTAATAGAAAGAGAAGTAAAAAAATAAAGAATATAAGATTAGAGTTGGACCACTATCTAGAAGATGATGTTTTGCCAAGACTTCAGGTTTTGATGTTTTAAAATGGTGGAAAGCCAATGGACCAAAGTATCCGACCTTACAGGCAATAGCTAGGGATATTTTAGCTGTTCCTATATCCACTGTTACTTCTAAGTCAGCATTTAATACTAGTGGAAGGTTGGTGAGTCCACATCGTAGTAGACTTCATCCAAACACATTAGAAGCATTAATGTGTGCACAAAGTTGGTTGTGGAGTGCAGAGATGAAAGATACTCATATTATTATTTCATGTAATCTCCATATTATTATTTCACTTTTATATTACCATGGAATAATTTCAATACTGAATTTATATTCTTTATTTTTTAGGAAATTCAACATTGGAATCAATGGGCTATGTGACTAAATATGATGATGATGAGATCGACTCGGATGAGTCGTGTGCTATTTTTGTGTTAGTTGTCATCTTTTTTGTTTTAACTGTTAACATTTTTTACATCTTATTATTAGTATTGATTATTTATTTTTTTCCTTTTGTTATTTAATAGAAATTCAAGTTGAAGGAGATGATGAAAGTTGTGGTGTGGTTGTATCAGAGTACTGGAGAAACAATGTTGCTTTTTTTTTTTCACAATGGATTTGGTTTTTTATATTGTAATGGATTTTTTTTTTAATTTTTTTTTTTTTTTTTTGGATAGCCTATCCCTTGCGAGCTGTGCTTGGGACTAATTATTCTCTTTGCAACTTGCTTAATTTTTCTTTGTGTGAGCTGCTGGATGGAATATGCTATTTGAATATATTGAAAATATGTTGACAGATATGCTATTGACAGATTGCCATCCCTATTGACAAATATGCTATTTGAATATGTTGTAAATATGTTTACAGATATGCTATTTGAAAATATGTGGACATGCTCTTTGAAAATATGTTGACAGATATGCTATTGAGTGGAGCTTGAATATGCTATTTGAATATCTTTTGGGTGGAACTTGAATAGGATATATTGACAGATATGTTTTTTTTTTAATTTGAAGATATGCTATTTACAAATCATTGTGAATTTGAAGATATGTTATTTTTGAATTTGAATTTGAATTTGAATTTGAAGCTATTTACAGATCACTATTAATCTTTCCTTTGAATCAAAAAAAAAATGGTATGCTATTGTAATTTGGAGATTTTTCGAGGTCGGGGGGGTTTTGGCTTTGAAATCAAAAGAGGGATTTTCAAAATGGTTTCTTGGAAATGATTGTGAATTTGTAAATGTGGTTGAGTTGTGGTAAAATGGTAGATTTTTATCCTTGGAATTGATTTATAAAGAAAGGGGATTTTTCCCTGCTGGGGACGAGGAATTTATCACTTTCGGGGATCGGGAAAGGGAAGTCCCCGGCCCGGCCCCGCCCCACCCCGCTCCGCCCCATTGCCATTCCTAGTCACTGTGGAAGGGTGGGAGAGGGGGGAGTGGTGACCACTGTGTTGGTTTCAGTGAGGAAGAATGAAAAAAAAAAAGAAAAAAAATGAAGAAAAAAGCAAGGAAAAAGAATAAGAGAGTAAGGATGAAGAAGATGAAGGTAGTAGAGTCATTTTCTTTCGGTATTGGGGGGTAATCAAGTAAATTAATCTTTAATACTGACAATAAAAGTCAAACACTGACGAGGATATTTGTAATTTCTCAAACCAAGGAAAATTGTATTTTAGACAAACCTCAGGAGATATATTTGTAATTTACCATAAAAAGCTAACACACAATTTTTTCTCCATTGGAAATGCTTTGGCACAACTGGTCATTCGACAACACTTTCCCATAAGCAAGAACCCTAATCTTCCCTAAAAATCACTTGACCTACACCCAAGTTCTCCACAATTGTACTTCACATACACATTGTTAGTTTTCAGCTCAATTTCCATAAATATTACATAATCAAACTTCAAAAATCACCTCACATGGACGCCAACATTAAATGTTATTGGTACCACAAATTTGTAACCATAGAAATACATACAATTAAATTTTGATAAGAAGAAGATCATCACCAAAACATACAACAGATCATCGAACATTAATCGATTCCCCCAATCGATAACATTTATAGAACTAGGTTCACACAATTCAGATTCAACAAACAAGGAACACAAACAAACATTAAGCTAAGACTAAAAGTGTTTTGTGATACCTGAAGAAGAAGAAGCAGAGGAAGAAGACCACCGGCATTGCAAGGCAGGGCATGGATTGAAGGGAGAAGATCGAAGGCCGGAAGAGAGCAGAGAAGGAGAGCGAAAATGAGAGATTTGGCGAGTAATTGGGCAGCCGGAAGGAGCGACTTTGTCCGGAACTCCGACGGAGTTGAAGGATATAGCAGCAGCAGCAGCCATTGAAGAAGCGTTGGGGAACCTCCGAATAGTGAGGGATATGGAGCAGGAAGAGAGAGAACGAAGAAACGTCGCCAGAGAGAGAAAATTTGATTAATCGAAGGCAAGTGAGTGTGGCGATGAAACCTAAATAACGCAGGTGTTTGGCATCAATCAAATCTGTTGAGGGGGACATAAAATAATTGCATTACAAATGAAATTATTTTATTTTAATTTACACCATTCACATGCAATAGTTGTAGCATTCAAAAACAGATATAAAATAATTGTTGAACTAAAAATTAAGATTTTTTTTTATAAAATAAGATTTGTTCATTAAAAAATTTAAAGTAATATTTGATAGAGTTCCCTATAATTTGAGAATAAGTTTGTATTTTGAATTTGTGAGTTTTGAAATTATGATTTGGGTGTAAAAAATTTATTTGGTGAATGAGTTTTGAATTGAGTGGAAATTTTTTGATGTGACATATGATATTTGATACAAAAACTTACCACTCATAACGAAACACACAACTCAAAATTTTATTTAAAGCTCATAAAAAAAATTTAAAAACTTCGAATTTTTTTATATAAAATATAAAAAATAATAGGTGACAATTGTAAAAAAAAATAGCACTGTTCCGGACAACCGGCCGGACGTCCGAGAGAACGACCGATTAACCCAAATTTTTTCGCTTTGGAAAGAGTTTTCAAAAGTGAATGTGAAATTAATTTTTAAAAACTATAAACAAACAACACACTCAAAACAATGAGTGAAAATGTATTTGGAGAGTTTCTCTAAACACAACCTATGTTTTTTTTATTATAAAATTATAATTTGTTCAATCTGTGAACCTAATCCACATTCACCCACCAACCCACTCAATTAATTTCAAAATCATGCGTGATCAAATGCAGATGAAATTATCTCAACCCGAATCCCAATCAATCAAGTGGCACATAACATACAATCCGCACGATCCCTATTTCATTGTATTCTAAAATCAATAATTTAAAGGGACTGAATTCTCTCCGATCCAAATCTGGATTGGAGAGGTACTTCTAAACTGGGGATTATTCAATCCTTAATTTAAATATATAATTCAAAAACATATGTTCTCCTCTTAACTTTTAAATAATTAGAATTTGTTTGGTTTGTATATAATTTTTGAAACAAAATTTCAAACAAAACCAAATAAAAAAAAAATTCAAAATCACTCTCTCTCCTATACATTAATCAATCACTTTTTCTCTCTTCTCTCTCCTTCTCAATCATTTTTTTTCTCACACACATTTAATCAACTATAACAAAGGCCTAGTTTGAAAAGACTAAATAAGTGCATTTTTTGATTTTTTATGAAATATGAGTTTATGAAATATGAGTTGGGTTTGGGTTTGAAGTGATGTGTTAGAGAGGTGATGTGACTTAAATAAAATGACGTGACTTAAATAAGATAGTGACTTTTTGACTTTTTGTCTTTTTTCAATCATGCCAAACTTGACCAAAATATCAAATCATCCAAAACACCAAAACTCAAAAACTCTTTTCAAAATATACAACCAAACAAACCAAAAGAATTTCTTAACTCTCTCCTTCAAAAAAATTTAAAAAATTTATCTCAAAATACAAACCAAACACACCCTTAATTTTTTTTTGACTTGTTTTAGTTACTTTTCTTAATTAATTATAGATGTAAAAGAACACAAAACCACTTCCATAAACAGTACCAAAGGGAACAATTAGTGTAATTTTCCACAATGATCTACCCGAGACTTTGCAGACACGTATCGCTTTCAGATCATCAAATGTAGTTTCCAACTGCATCTATGATCAAATGACAGGTTGCAAAATATTTTTTTGTCCCTCCACACCCAGAGGAAAAGGAAAAAACAAAGCAAAACAAAATCCCAATCAATACAATTCTCGGCACCACGAAAATATCCACAAGCAACCCTATGTTCTCCACACCAAAACATCAATCAACAAGTCTATATGATCAAATATTCTTCGATAATACCAATATAAGCCATTTTTTCATTGTATTTCCAAAACTAGGCCAACTTCTGACGGAATTCCCGCGAATAGTAATGGCGCTTTAACTTAGTTTTGGAATTCCGTCAGAAGTTGGCCTAATTTTGGAAATACAATGAAAAAATGGCTTATATTGGGAAAAGCCCCCAAATATTCTTCGATAATAACTCCTATTAACCCTAGGTTCACTTTTGTTCTCCAAAACAAAACCCCATACCCAGTCCGAAACACAGGCACAAGCTTCCAACATAATGTCCTTTTTGGTCTTTTCAAGTTCAAAAGTTTGTTAGACTCGAGAAAGAAGAAACGGGAGCTTCCAATTACACGACATTAATATCTCTTTACACTCGTATGTACAATACCTTTTTTTCCATAAAGTACAAGTATTAAAAACGCATAAAAGGTGTGATGAGATTTTTCATTGGTAAATAGAAGCTTCCAAAGAAAACTCGTCTCCCTGACAAATACAGGGAGGGAGAACATGCTAGAACCATGGGCATGCCAAGCATTTGAGTTCAACAATCTGAATTCATGAGCAAAAACCAATCAATCAATCTCTCCTTCCTCTGCATCATTTACTTCATCCAGAACATTGTGGGGCTCACCTTCTTCTTCGTCCTCATCGTCCACCTTCATGTACAGACCAAGTTGCTCCAAGGGATTACTATTTCCCCGGAATTTGAATCTATCAAGAACATTTAGGGTTTTATCTGGGCTTGCATCATCTTCGAAGCTCGGTAAATGTTCTGTAGCAGCAGCAGTCCTAAGCATTTCCAGATCCTCCATAAACTGACAGTTCTCGTTAATTTCAACAGTCTTTTCCATCTGCAGATAGCACAAATTTTCAGCTACAAGAAAGGTTGAAATTTCCAATTAGCTTTATAGCTCTTGCATTACACCAAGACCAGCTCAACTATTAGTAAAAAAATCACTTTACCACTACATTTTCACCCTCAACTAAAAAAACCTTACAAATGCCCCCAATTGTGGAGGGATGTGGAATTGATGCATTTTTATAGTTGACATGGTCGAAATGAACTGGTTCATAGCTAAGGATGTAAAGTGATATTTACTAATAGTTAAAGAGGTCTAGGTGTAAATAACTCTTATACAATTAGTTTAGTTTACCTTTTGCAGAGCCTGGCGTGCTGCTTCTCTCTCGAGTTCTCTTTTCCTTTTGGCTTCAGCGGCAGCTTCTGCTTCCGCTTTCATTTGAGCTTCTTCGGCAGCCTTCGCCTCTGCTTCTAATCGAGCTTTTTCTACAGCAACAGAAAGGCACAAAAGCATTATGTAAAGGAGACTAACAATTACAAGTATGAAATCCTTCAACTTCATGGACATAAATTTGCATTATTAATAGGCGAATTACGGTTTACCCCCATCAACTATGGGCCATTTTCACTTTACCCCCTCTCAACTAAAAATTGTTGTAAAGATTGTTTTAATCTCAACATTCTGGTATGAAAAGAGAATGAAAAAATGGCATACATGCCAAATTGACCAAAATACTCATTCAAGAACTAATTTATTTACATATTTTTGAAGCATGTATTTATAATCTCCTATCCTATGAAGAAATATGTGAGAGAAAATATATGCAAATGTCAATTTTATGATTAGAAAGAAAAATACATAGTACATATTTCTCACTTATATGTATATAAACTGGCTTTTCAATAAGCATTTTAATCGTGAAATTGGTAAGCACTGCTCACATGCACGTTTCTATCCTCTTTTTCATAACAAAATGTTAACAGAAGGTTGAGATTGAAACAAATCAGAAGATTAGGGAATAAGATGTAGCAATTTTTAATTAAAGAGGGTAAAGTGAAAATGGCCCATAGTTGAACAGGGTAAACTGTAATTTTTTTAAGTTTTAAACTGCAGATTCCTACCTTCTTTTCTACGCCTTTCAAGCTCCTCTCTCTCAAGACGCAGCTTCTCAGGATCCTGCTTTTCACCCTGGACTCAACACATCACTTACATACATCAATGACCACATCACAAATATTGTTCACATGAACTCAGTAAACTGGCTATGTAACACAAAGTACACCAAAATTTTAACCAACCTTATCAAGCGTCTTTTCTTGAGCTTTAAGAATGGTGTCTGCAAAACGACCTATCAACAAAGCTGCACGGTAGAGCTTGTCGGGGGAGACTTGCCTCCCAGGTGGAGCACTCTCCCCTAAAATGTTACAGCATGATGGTTAAGATGATGCTGCAAAACTAACAGCACAGGATTTCTTCAAAATACCATTGCTTACCCTCTTGGCAGCCTTCGGTCTCAATGGCAACCTCTTTTGGCTGGGAATTCTGCTTAACTTGGTTCAACCCATTTAAGGAATCTGTGAAACACGGAGTAGCAGACCCTCAGAAAACACAGGGTTGAAGAAACAAAAAACTATCATATATTTTCCAAATCATGGTTGTTAGAATCTTACAATTCACAATTCAATACAAGTTTCAAGCAAAATAGTTAGATTCATGTAGTTGGATCTTAAATATTCAATTATGATTCACTACAATTCAAGCGATTCAATTCTATTTGTATTGAATTTGTATATACATATATACAGTTTAGTTATAATAATATTTATTTCATTTTAAACACTATATGTGTATTTTTATATGTATATACATATATAAAATTACATATTATGTTCAATAAAGTGAATCTTAGAATTCAATATTTCTTTTAGGTCTTAGAATTCAATATTTGATTGGATTCATTCACTATTTTAGTAAACTGATTCACAATTCAATTCACTATTTGAAAACAATGGTACATGAGTACAAGAATCACATATTAAAGGTACTCACAATTTCCAATGTCAGGATCACTGAGATCATTGCTTTTCTGCTCTATATTTGCTCCAGATCCTAAGTTATCCTACCAAAGGGATAAAATGGAGATGACGTAATTACTTTGCAACATTGCCACACATAAAGAGGAAGAGAACAAAAAGTGACTAATTTTTAGCCTGCAACACAACACCTAACAAATAGGCATTGAATTTTCCATCCAGATTCAATCCTATCAACATGTACCTTTGTACTAATTGCAGGAACTGAAGCTCTAGCACCATCTGATTCATTGCCAGAAGAACTACCTGAGTCTGAATCTGGAATAGAGTTCCAAGAAAGATTAAAAAATTATAGTAATCTTACTAACACAATCGCTGACTAAACATAGGGTAAACAACCATGATAGTACTGAATTAAATGATAGTACAAGAGAAACAGGAGAGCATAAAAGTCCTCTAAGAAAAGAAAAGCAAAAACAAAAACAAAGACAATCAAATACTTGCGCTACAAATCACACACTGCTCTCATATCTCTAGAGATTAAGAAAATAAATAAATAAATAAGAAAAAGAGAGAGAGAGAGAGAGAGAGAGAGAGAGAGAGAGGAATTCCTCCGAAGGGTTTGGAGACTAAACCCAAAAAGATACAGCGGGTAACAGACATTATCCGTAAAGAATCCACCTCTTCAATCAAATCCTCAAAGATTCTTCAATAGAGAATATGTTTCAGAAAATTTTGTGAAGCTCTTGAAGTTTTATGAAGAATTGTGTCATTCAATTCTAAACATAGATACCAACAACTTTTTTCTCTTCTCTTCTCTTTATTCGTAAATTTCTACGTTTAAGCCTTTAAGCTGCAAAACCATACCTATTTTGCTATTTTTCTGTACCATTAAACATTATTCCACATGCCTAAGCTATCTTCATTTCAATTCATCAACCCTATTGCCTAAAGAAACATAAAACTAGAAGCTAGATATTCACAGGTACTGTTCATAGTGCCCAAAACAGTAATAAAATATTTTGTTTTCATTTTCAAATCCTTATTCTTTTGTTACCCATTTTAAAACCTTAAGATCCCCATATTTTACAATCCTTTCAGGCTTTTAAAACCAATTAAAATTAACCCTATATAGCCCTTTCCATCACTGCATCATATTAAGTTGGGCTCACTACTGCTAGAAGAATATCCCCCACACTTGTCCTACCTAGATGTCTAAATGACATTGTAATAGTTACCCAGCTTCCACAGGGAGTTTTACAACTGACATCATGTTGACATTCTTCAACCTAAACAAAAAATGCCAAACTTCTAACTAATCAATTCTCCTATGGTATTGCACATAAAGGTAAAGAATTTTGCCACCATGATTGCCTAGTAGCAGTGGCAGAGACAGGAAATTACTTTAAGAGGGGCACTTACTAATCACAAACTCAAAACAAATTTCCCGTAATCGGCAACAATAATATAATGTGACCTTTTTTATTTAATATTAAGCACAAAACATAAATATTCATTGAAAAAGAAAAATACTATGCAAAAAATATGAAAGTTCAAATGACACCCATGGTGTATAGTTTGTCTCGTGTCATTTTGGTCACTATTTGACCATCTTCTTTTACCACATTTCATCTACCATCTGATGTGGTATACGCACATTAGTTGGATATTAATGACATTCATGTGGAGTCCATCTGATGCGGCGCACACACATAATAACAGACCCCACATGAATGTCATTAATATCTAACTAATGTATATGTGCCACATTGGATGGTTGATGAAATGTCATAATAAGGAGATAGTCATCGTAGCATTACTCTTTGTTTTTTATAGATAGTCATTGTAGCACTACTCTTAAGTGTATCAATTTAACTTTAAAATTTTTCACATTGTCTCAATTTAATAAACTCGACAACACCCCTTTAAAAATTAGACTAAAATCAAGGGTAAAATAGTATGTCAACTCCTCAATCACTTTGAAGAGAGTGAATGGACCATTTTTTCCTTAATTTTCGTTCAATTTATTAGTGGGCGATACCAATTGGTTTAAATTGACATAATGTAAAAATTTACAGTGCAACATTGATGCAATTAGAACTATAGGATCAAATTCACACAATAGGCAAATTACAGTGACCACAAATGTAATTTTCCTAATAAGAAAATAAGGAGGACCTTTAAGAAAAATTAAACAAGAAGTGCCAGAAGAGAAATTAATTTTGCAAAGAAAAAAAAAAAGAGAGAGAACAAAGGGAAGAGAGAGTCATTTTTATATTCAGAGTTCTTATTTTATTGATAGAAAAATAAGCAGGGCCTTCAAAAAATATAATTTTTCAGGGATCTTAAATGATTTAGGGTGGGCATAATTATAATATTTCAGAGGTTAAAAAAACACTTTACAAATATGTGGGTACTAGTGTAGTCTTATAAAATTTGAGAAGGGGCACGTGCCCCTCCTAGTCCCTTTGTGCATCCGACACTGCCTAGTAGCCCCCCTAAAGGCTGATTGATTAGTTTAACAATAACAAACTTCAGAATTGAGTTAAATACAATTCTTTAGGGGCCTCAAAGTTCAAACATTCACAGAATTACCAATCAACCTTTTCCAATTTTAATTTCAGCCGATGTACATTAGAATTCCCTACAAAGTATAATTCACTAACTTTAAAACAAGATTATTTGATTATGCAATCCGAAACGGAATCAACTTCCATCCACTCCAAAACTTGTTTCAACATCAAATGTTGTCATGATGTCCACGGCCAACCTAACAAAACATCCCCCCCCCGGGCTTACCCCCCCCCGGGGGGGGCGGGGGGTTAATCCCTACAAAATTACGAGAAATTGTGCGCCTAGTGCATGTTTAGAAGTATCTCATGATAATTCTTATCAGTGTTGTCAAATCATGATACATATTGTGTATCGGCATAACAACTTCAAGTATCGTGTATTGTATCGTATCATGTATCGCAAGATACGTTGACATATGTGAATATAAGCACACACAAAAATAGATATCCTCCTCACAAAAAATGCGTTTTGGGTGCACTATTTCACAGGTTGTAATGTTTTAAATGGGCAATTGCCAAACAGGATTGTTTATTGATTATATGCTTGTTTTCAAACAGAACAGGCCTAACATATTTTAAAACTCTTAATCTCTCTATTCGATTAGGGAAGATGGAATTTTGCATCCACACTGGCATTTTGATTGGGGAAGCTCTGGCAAAAGGAAACGAGAACGGCAGTGCGGCCGACTCTTATTCTATTTTATTTTCTCTTCAATTGTGCTGGTAATATTTGTTTTTTTTTTCCTGTTCAAGAGACAACTAGTTTGCATCTTTGGATTAGTAACTATGCAGTGGCTATTTACGACTTTGGGGCTGAAGTTCAACCGAAGAGGAACAATTAGTAGAAACTTTGAGGTCAGATATATTGCAGTATTTTATCGTGCAAAACAATATGTATCGCGAATCCATGATACAGTGTGAAATCTTATGATACGACTCTGTATCGTACAAATCATGTTCCAAACGATACACTACATGACACATATCTAAATGCTTGCAATTCATGTATAACAACACTGATTGTTATACTTGAACTATATGGGTGCCTCTAAAAAAAGCATCAGGTATATATGAATATCATCCAAACTACATCTTAAGAAAGATATAATATTTATAATATGTGTCACTGTCATTGAATTATTCTTTTTTATTTTCAGGAAATTCAACTTATGACATTTTCCTATAACTATTTACGGTGTTATCGAAGATATTTTATCAAATAAATCAAATAGTTCCAAGCTCAATTTGGTTTTCTTCACTTCCAAACGCAAGCCTAATACTTTTAAATCCACAACCACAATTTTCAAAGACACAAAATTTGATACTAAAAGCAAAATTCAAATATTTCAGAGACTGAAAGAACTATTAGATATCTTTTGCAAGAGTTTCTTTGAATTTACTTTTTGAGTGTATATCATAGTATATGATACTAATATGGTAAAGCATTGAAGAATATTGAGCTTTTTTTAGGATAAGTAAAAGACGAAGTATTGAGATTCAAAGAAGTTTTCTAAGGTTCCTATGTTGTAGCAGCAAAAAATTTACATAGGTCAAGATATCACGTTCGACACAGTACAAAATAAAAATTAAATAAATGAAAACGTAAAGGAAGAAATATTCCAAGTTTGACAAGGTGGTAGAATTCAACTCTCAAGTTTGTTTGGCATCAAACCCTATGTTCCACCAAAAGACTCCTGACAATTTTCACTTTTCTCCTGTTTGGTGATAAAAGATGAAAATATAAATTAACTACGATAAACATTGGCATTTCACATGCTCCAAAGGTTAAGGAAATGTATAGAAAATTCATAGTAACACGAACCACTGGAAGAAGAACCCGATTCACTACTTGAACTACCGCATTTACTGTTTCTAAGGGCTGTATCTTTTTCAATCTCTACTGGAGGGTAGCTTGTGATAGGAGGATCATTCCCACCAATGTCAACATCCTCGTCAACAGGATCATTGCCTGAAAATAAATGAGAAAAGGTTTTAAATAAACAATTTTAAACTCAAGCCTTAGGTGACAAATATGTTCATCAGTTCAACAATTGGCCTAAGTAGCAGCAAGTGGGATAGAAAATTACCTTTGCATGGTTGCCCTGATGAATTGCTGAAACCTGAGTGATTAAGAAGCTGCAGCAAAAGGGGGGGAAAGCAACACAGTCTGAGTTCCACTTATTTTACAAGGAAGATGTTAACACGCTCAACAACACTCACACATGAGAGAGAGAGAGAGAGAGACCTCCATTTCACAAGGTTCAGCTCTTCCCTGCTTTTTCTGTTTATCCAGCAAATAGTCATCTACAAGCTTCCGCAATGTTAACAAAGTATCATCACTTAGAGCATCAATATCAATCTCAATCTCATCTTCATCAATTTGACTTGCATTATAACTTTGCCTTTTTAGGAAGTCAATAATGCTTTCAGGCAATTCTGCTAATAGAGCCTCCAATTCTGTGCTAAGTTTATGCTTCTCTTCATTGGTAATGACACGCTTCACAGATTCTTGTTTGACCTTATTGTCTACTGGTGTGATTTTCTTCTTTTTAGAGGGAGGCATTGGTTTAGGAGTTACAGTTTCTATACAAACACTTGATGTTGAAAGTACCGGTGCATCAATGGTAACAGGAACCTTCTTCTCAATCGATTTCCATCTCACTTCAAAATATTTACTGAGTGTCTCAGCCATGAAATGGACATGATTTCCAGGTGGGTTGTAGGTCATGGCATTTGAGAAAGTGAGCCTCACATCTGCAGCAAATCCCAGTAGACTCGAATACTCACCTGGTAATAACTTACTTTTCACTGTCCCCAAGTCCATGGGGTGCTTTATAACATTGAAGTAATCTGGAATATTCAACTTAACTACATCAACAGGAGTGTTGAAAACCCACCCATACTGATGTGACATCAACCGATTCAGTAAGGTCTCGCACTGTTTCATCAACATAGCATTTGAAGTACTTGGTGGCACAGCCTGCTTCACCGACTCATTATGCCCTCGTTTTGTCCGTGGCCCATTTCGATCAGGAGGAGCCTGTTTCTTTCCCTGTGAGGTGGATACATGGGGCGACAAAGCTACACCATTTAAATTCAGAGAAGCAATTTTCTTCTGAAGAAGCCTAACTTGTTCAAGTTCACTTTTCAACCTCAGTTCTAAAGCCTTCCTCTCAGACACTGACATCTTTGACAGTGATAGAACTTGTAAGGGAATATCATTTCGATCATAAGAATCCACATTCAGACTAATACATTTCCGTCTAGGGGCACATGAATTCTCTGAAACAGTCATCTCTGTGTCAACAACAGTATCTACGCGATGTACATTATCGGGAACAAAACCAGAGGAATGTCCCTTGGAAAACTTCCTAGTTTTCCCCATAATTACAGCACAACTTATCCGCAACCAATTTTTTAGTTTTTGATTCCCTCCTTCCAATGTACTCTATGGGAACAGTTGGTGCCATAAGATCAACCCCCAATTTCTGCACATTTTAATTCTTATTTATAGTCAGATGCCTATCTTCAAAAATGTTTCCTTCAATTCCGGTTGGTGGATTTAGTGTGGAATCAGACAAATTTCATAGTTACTAGAATACCCAATTCTTCAATTTATAGGTCGTGAAACATTATCCCATCAATAAGCAATATGGTTTTCCTTCTCTTCCAAAAAGAAAATCTTCAAACTAAGGTCAAATTATAGAATTTTTTTTTTTTTTAATTTTTACAATTGACACAAATTCATTAAAAAAAAATGGGGTAACTATAACCTAACCTCGAATCATTCCCTGATTCAATCCAAGCTACCAAAATTTAATGACATCGGATCACAGCCTCAACCATATACAAAGACAATCAAAACCCTAAAATGTTCGCTTTCTGGCTCAAAAACTCAACACCCCTTCGACCACGACTCAGATCGAAACAATAAAGAAACGAGTTCAATGAAACTAAACTAGAAGCAAAAATAACGAATTGAATCGATTAAAACAAAACCCTAGATCGAAAGATTGAGTGACCCAAGAAAAACAAAGCTAAAAAGAGAAATCAAAGCGAAAAGAAAAGAGAGATTGAATGGGTTGAGAGCGGGGAAACCCTAGAGATACTTGACAAAGAGAGTCCAATTTCAAAACCTGGATCTCTGAACAACAGAGCCGTTGGGGATTGGCGGGGGCGTTTGAAACCCTAGAAACAAACCCTTCTTCGTAATCTCCTCCGATTGAGAAAGAGAGAGAGAAGTAGCGAGTTGCGATCGCTTCTCGTGTTTGCTCCTCTACTTAAAGCGACTTTGCTTCCTAGCCCGCCGCTCCGTCAGAGATCTCACCCGTCGGATTTTAAGTCTGCCCCAATCCAACGGATAGTATCCATTTAGTTTTTCGCCCTCGGATCAGATCTGGATCTATGGTAACGAGTGACGATCCTCGTCCGGCCCTTGGTCATTTATTTATTTATATAATAATTATTTTAACTTAAAATTTTTTAAAACGTTTGTTAGAGATCTCTAGTTTAATTTTAATGCGTGGTTTGGGATGTGGGTTTTTTTTTTTATTTTTTGGTTAAATTAGGAGCAAAATATTAATAAATTTTAAATTTTAATTTGTTAAATCATTTAGTTCTGTTTTGTGAACTAATTAGTCTTATTTTAATGTTAATTATGTATATACCCATTTATTTAACACGTAATATTTTTTTGATGGAGAGCAAATGTAGGTTTTTACTAATGTTGTAATGACAAAAATATCCAAAAAACTTACTATAGGCCTTTTTATGATTTCCCTCCTTTCTAAACATCAACAATATTAACTACATCAACAACATCAGCAACATCATCAAACATCATCAACATTATCAAGCATCATCAAAACATCAACTACATCATCAAACATTGTGAACATCATCAACATCACCAAACATCAACTACACCATCAAACATCAACAACATCAATATCAACTACACCATCATCATCATCATCAATCATCATCAAAACATCATCACCATCATCAAGCTTACTATATCACCAACATCGTGAACATCAAACATCATCAACATTATTCATCAAACATTGTGAACATCAAACATCATCAACATTGATCATCAAACATCATCAACATCAATATCAACTACATCTTCAACATTATTCATCAAACATTAATCATCAACATTATGAACATCAAACATCATCGCAACATCATCAAAAAAAAATCCACTTGTTCCTCTATCGCTGTCTCTCTGTCTGTCTCTACACGAAACATATATACAACTATATAATAAGGAAGAAAGGTTTTTGAATCTTGATGGCACTTTCATCTATGTGTCAAAATATGCACCATTAAATTGATTCAATCCAATGGTTGAAAATGTCTCACTCTTATTTGGACTTTTGTCCCTTTATCAAAATATAGACCGTTAGATTGATTCAATCCAAAGGCTGAAAATTCAAAATTCAATCCAAAGGCTGTAATCACCCTCTCATTCTCTCCCTCACCCACACCCCTGTCATCTCTTTCTGATTTCAAAATTTGAACACACGTCTCTTTCTCTCTCTCTCTATCGGAGCCCATTCCGGTGCTTCCCTGTCGGAGCCCAACCCTTGCCGGCGACCGAACCCCAAACCCCTATTACTCCCTCTCTCCCTCCCTCCCTCTTCCGCCATCCCAATCGTCATCAACAGTGGTAGCCCTAAACCCGCTTCAATATTGACAAATGGAGCCACTGCGCAAGGGTATTTTTTAATTGGAGATGAGACTGATATCTATTAAAGAATCTGGGCTTTGATTTTTCAGGTGAGCAATGGGTACTGATTTTTCAAATGGAACCTGGGCTTTGATTCAATAATGTTTATCTATGCAATGGGGACTGATATATATATATATATATATGCATTTGTGTGGGCTTTGATTCAATAATGTTTATCTATACAATGGGGACTGAAGGCATTCTAAATGTTTATCTATATGCATTTGTGTGTATTATATATATATGCAGGGAAATCATTGATTTGTGTGTATTTTATGCATTTATATATACATATATATATATATATATATATATGTGTGTGCGTGTGTATTTGTGTGTATTTTATGGATGTATAGGGATGGCTCCATGGTTTTTTTTCAATTAGGCCAAAAAAACTTACATAGAATCTTACATGAAAAGTCAGAAACAAAAGAAAAGTGTTTCTCTTAGTTCATATCATCTGTTTGGATTAGTGAATATGGAAGACATTGGTTTCCTCTAAAACCCTCATTTTGAATTTTGGAGAAAAAATAAAAAACACTGACACTTAAAAAAATTTATTTTGATGATATTGTTTCTTTTCTGTCTTCCAAAGGTTTGCTTGGAAATTGTTTATTTTGTTTTATTTTTGTGGCTTTTTAATTATTTACGAAAAAACTTATATAAAATAGAGAAAATGGATTTATTTTTTGTGTTAGTTTTTGGCTTTTTAGCTAATTTTCCTATTTGGCAACAAATTTAACTTAATAGGTTGATAAAGTAATCTATTTTGTTTACTTATTGATATGACACTGAGGGCATGTTTGATTAGTAGTATTATAGGATAGGATTGGGATTATTAGTTCATGGACTCACAATCCTATGTTTGATTGCAAATTTTATTAACCGGATCTAATCTAACGAAATTGGCGAATATTGAGAGGGGTTTGGGATCATAATTTCAAATATAAAAGAAAATAAAATAAAACAAAATTCAATGAATACATAATAAATGGTTACGTCATGAATTTGATTGGATAACGAATCCTTCACTAATTCATGGGATTATTAATCATTTTATTATTAATAGGCCTTATTACGTTATTAAAGGTACTATTTCAGATTTTGAGTTTTATTTATTGCATAAAACACCCATTCATAAAATATTGGTAAGATTTATTAGTTTGTAAAATTGGTAACATTGGTAACATTCGAATTTGATTTACAAATAACTTCTACAAATAACATGCTATTAAATGTCATTAATTACACAACCAACCAATCATTAATTACTCTTTTATTTCACAAAGGAAGAATCTGATAGAAATACTATTTAGGTGAGCAAACAATGGGGAAAATGGAAACCTGGGCTTTGATTTTTATTGAGTATTTCAATAATTTTTCAATAATCTTTACTCTAATTTTTGGATATCTTTTGCTTCAATAATCTTTAATTTCCAGCATGTTTCAATAATCTTTTGTTTCAATAATCTTTTGTTTCAATAATATTGACAATAGGTTTGTCCAATTTAATTGCTTTATTGATGTTTACCGTTTATGATTGAAACATTGTGTCTGAAGCATTGTGGACTTCCTTAAGACCTTTTTATCGAAACAAGGTAGAGATGTGGTAAGTATGGAAACCTGGGCTTTGATTTGATCATTGTTATTCTGTGATTATTTCTTTAGTTCGTTGTGTAAGAAATTGATGTAAGTCTGTTTTTTTTCTTCTTTTTTTTTTCTTACAATTATCATTATTTGGGTTTATTAAATCAAATTGGGGTGGGTGAGGTAGGGGAGCAAGAAATCAACTATATTATATATATTGTGTGAGTGATTTTCTGACCACACTGCCCGCCTAGTAATCAGCTGGAGAGTACCGGCAGAATAGATGGCTTCAACTAACCTGTAACAGAAAGAAAAGGCTCCGGCGGTGGCTCTTCCACCTGGGGACACTCCGACGATCAAGTCAGTATATCTCTCAAAGATATTCAAGTGCTAAACTCACTACTCAAAGCATAAAACTGCGTACCTTAAACCCACAGGAGTGCCTCTTTTTTATAGTTTACTCAATCCTAGTCCCACTAGAAGCTTGACTTCTATGGACTCCAATTCTGTACTTACTTTGGATTTCTTAAGAGATAAAGATAAACTCCCTAAAAGCTTTATCCTTATCTTAGCAAAGTCTTCTCTTTACTCTAGGACTCTTGCCCCCTTATCTATTATCCGCTTATCTCAGATTCCGATATCTTCGGAGATAACCTCGGCCTTGCCGAGATAACCTCGGCGTCATAACTAGGACACGTGGCACTTCGGCTGACACGTCGGCGTCACCTTGCCACGTGTTGGTATTCAGAAAATACATCTCCACAACTGCCCCCTAGGTTCTATTACCTCGGCATTAGTGAGGTGATAGAACCGATATCTGTATTTTTTTTTTAAATCGGCTTAAGATTTGACAGCCGAGATCATCCATTTCTAGCCGACATGTTTTTCCTAAAAAATCAAGGATTTTTAAGAAAATTTTTACGCGCATGAGCTGTCATGCACTTCAATTCAACTGTTTTAAACACGCGTTTCCTTCTTACTGGCTCGTGCCTGTGACGCGCCCATAAGTCGTCTCATCTTCATATGCGCCGTATGACGTATGCGCTTTTTTAGGCGTATTGATTGCTTTTGCCGCCATTTTGATTTTTTGACAAAATCTTTCCCCCTTTCTTTCGTCTCTTCACTTTTGCATCTGAGTTCTCTTGTTTTTTTCTCTCTCTAAAACTTTCTTTCAAATCTGCCATTGTTTAAGCTCCAGGCTCTGCAACTTCATTCGTCTCTCTGGTGAGGCTCTCGCTACTCTGTCACTTCTGTAACCGTCGTCTGTCTTCAGCGAACTTCATTCTGCTTCAATTTCTCTAGTAAGCCACTATTCTTTATGTATTCAGTTCACTGATGTTCTTCTATCTTCTTGCTGCCATTACTGTTCTGTTTAAACTGTTAATTTCGTGAATCATATTTATTGTTCACTACTTCTTGCATTTTTGCCACTGTTCTTGGCCCGGTAGTTCTTGTTTTCTTTATGCTTTTGAGAACCCCACTTCTGTTCTTCATTCTGAAACTGCGTTCTGGTTTTTTGTTTCCTGTGTTGTTTTCCAAATCTCTGCCTTCAATTTTTGCTTTCAATCTTTACCTTTATAGATTTAGGTTTGGGATTTGTCTATAGAACCTATCAATTCTTAGGAAAAAACTGAAACAATCTTTACCAGAATATACCTATGGTTTCGCTGAGGTCCCAATAACCCCTTAAAAGCATCTTCTTTCTGAAACCTAGCCCTCTGATTTTAGGCCGACGTTATGGGTATGTGGAGGCACAGGGTAGATACCCCGACCAAAGAAAACGCCATCCCTGCCGATGTCCACCTAAGACTGGCTGGGGATGACGACTCCATCATGCCCACAGAAAACGCCATGGCCCTTCCCATTGTAGCTTTTACTGAGTGCGGACTCCGGCTCCCACTCAACATCCTTTTTCGTGAGATTCTTCATTACTATAAGTTGAACCCCATGTAACTGGAAATCAACTCTTATCGAGTGATTTTTGGTATTATCGCCTTAACTAGGCAGGAGAACGTTAGGATCACCCTTGCCGACATCCAATACTGTTATACCATGTGCGCCCTTAACCTGAAGGAAAAAGGTTACGTCTATTACCTCAAGCCAAGGTCCACTGAATTCAAAATCGTAGCCGACCTCCCAGACTCTAACAAGGGGACTGGAGATGATTATGTTATTGCTTCGGGAAATTGGGAGTTTGGCGCAGACGAGGACGCCCATCTCTACCCTCTTCCCCGATCAGTTAAAGAGGGCAAGGGTAAGAGCCCAGTGTTAATACTTAGATGTTTCTATTCAAGTCTTCAATATTTTATCTGTTTCTAATGTCTGTTTCTTCTTGCAGACGTTCGCAAGCCAGCGAAAAACTTCCGCCAATCTTACGTTCCCAGTAAGGACCTGAAAAAACTCCTGGACTTGCCAGTTCACAAAAGAAAAGCACCTCTTCTTCTCAACTTTATTCCTACATACAAATCGATTTTGCCCGACGTCTCCAAAAGAAAGAAGAAAAGCATTTCTCCTCCTATTGCCACAACTCAAACCGCCTCTACATCACGAACAGATCAAGAGTCAACATTTGACCCAACCAATCAACCATCTACTTCGGCCCCATACTTGGTCCCAATACAAGAACGAAAACGTCAGCGAAGACTTGTCAAAACTGCTGAGATGGGTCGCCCAAAGCCCGTTGCTCAAGACCTCCTTGTCGATCTCCCTGTTGACGTTGATGCTCAGCCGACACAAACCATACCCCCACCAAAGCCGAAACGAACCAAAGCCCAGTCAAAGGCTAAAGCTACTGAAGTTGAGGCTGAAGATACCCTGACAATTTCACAATTGACAGGGAGTGAGAAGACGGCTTCCGTTCCCAAAAAAAGGTCTGCTGAGACACAGCCATCAGAGTCCACACAATCAAAGAAGCCAAGGTCATCGTCTGCGACGACCTCGGGGTCCATAATACCAAAAGTCCCCTGGACGCCTGAAATTACTTTAGAAGATAAGTCTGTTCTTGCCAGCGATAGTGCCGACGACATTAATGTCGACGTAGCACTTAGTACCGCCCTACTTCTTCCAGGTGATCTTGAGTGGAATGCCAAGATGAGTGAGTACGAGAACTATGCCTTTATGCTCCAACGTTCTGTCCACGTAAGTGTCTTTACATGGAAACTTGTCTTCTCTTTTACTTTGTAGAATTTTGTAATAATTTTTGCCATGTGCTCTTTCAGGCCATTCAACATGCCCACTCTCTCTCTATGCAAGCTTTTGAAAATAGGGCAAAGTTGGCCGACATGAAGAGGAAGGTTTCTGCCCTTAAAAAGGAGAACAAAACTCTTCAATCAAAAATGAAAAAACTGGAAGACCAGGCTGAGGCTGCCACCAAAGCCCAAACCCTAGCCGAAGAAAATGCTAAATCTGCTGAGGCCATCAAGAAGGTTGCCGAGGCCGAGAAGAGAGAGGCCGATGACAAAAAGGCCCAAGCTGAAAAGGAACTTCAGGAGGCCTTGGCCACTAAAGACGCTGAAATCAAAGAGGCCGACGAAAAAGCCTATGCCCAAGGAATGACCGATGTTACAGAGGAATACAAATTACAAGGTAGGCAGGCATGCAACAGGGGCTTTTCCCTTGGTTGGATGTCCCTGGCCAAAAAGCTCAATATTCTTGAAGATTCACCTCTGTGCAAGGCCGAAGCTATTCCTCTCCTATTCCCTCATCCTGCACCTCCAAGTCAAGCTAAAGAAGAATCTGAATCTGAGTCTGAAGATGAGGAGGAAGGTGAGGATGAGGCTTTAGTAAGGAAATCAAAAGAGGCTGTAGGGCCTAAGTCTCATTCTCTGAATGAGCAGGTTTTGGACCTAACTCAAGATGATGATGGTGATGCAGTCGCCAAGGAAACTACTCCTGAACAGGCCTCATCTGACGTTCCTCCAGCTGAAAAAAGTCTTGATGAAACCCTTGCGCAGATTGACGCCGAAATTGAAGCAGAAAAGACTGCCGAAGTAGCTCTTCAGGAGTCAGCCGAGGTAGTTCTCCAATAATCAGCCGAGGTCCAGTCTCAAATTACGCCTGAAGTAGAAGAATCATAACTTTGATGTCCCTCTTTTCTTGTCTTTTGTACTTTTTTGTTTTCTGGACAGTAGAAGTTTCTCTGTACGGCCGATGTGCCTTCTGTTTGTGTTGTAAATTTTAACATAACTATCTTTCTTTGAATGACTGCATTCTTTTTTGCCTTTTCTTTGACTGCCTCTGTTTGATTCTATACTTAGAATTTTTTTGTATGCCTTTCATACTTTGCCTCCTTTGTGCAATCTTCTCGGGGTTACATACCTCGGGTATAATAGCTACAAAACTTTTACTTGGGCAAGATACTGACCTGTAAACTTTTCATAAATTCTAACAAGTGTGAAACATATACTACGGGGTTATAACCCTCAGCAGTCTCAGGGTGGAGTTGCTAGATCGACCTTTCTGGTGCCGAGTGCAGGCTCTGGGAGAGGCAGTTAGGGAGGCTTGACTTGTTTTGCGTGTGGCCAGCTGGGTCACAAGTCTTCGATTTGGCCGCAGAAGGGAGGGGGTCAGCGAGCTGCTTCCTCTTCAGCTAGACCTCAGGGCCAGAGTCAGGGCAGGGGCCAGCCCTTGTCTTGCTATCAGTGTTAGGGGTGTGCAACGGATCTGCCGACCCGCCTCACCCGCCCGACCCGACCCGACCCGAGGCACAACGGACGGATGCGTGACACCTGGCGGACGGATGCGGGTCTAGAAATACCAATTTCACGGGTGCGGGTCGGGTCACGGGTAATCCGCCAATTCTATTGATTTACCCGACCCGTCCGCCCACACTAATTTTCCCTTTTTTCCCCCCCAATCTTGCCTTGCCCCTGTTGTTTTCATTTGAGGTTTGTAGCCCTAGGTTTGTTCGACGACTATGTCTGTCTCTCTCTCAACTCTCTCTCTCTCTCTCACACACACACACTTGAACGGAGGAGACGAGAAACAATCGGCGTCGGTGACAATGGTGGCTATCGACGATCGGTGATCGGCGACAGTGGTGGTGGCGAGCAGCGATCGAAGCATCGATTCGAAGGTAATCTTCTCTTCTCTTCTTCTCTTCTCTTCTCTTCTCTTCTCTTCGCTTTTTGTCTTCGATCGGTGATCAGAAACTGTGTTCTGTGTTTTTATTTTGTTATTTTTTTAGTAATTAGGGCTTCAGCTTCTTCCCTTCTCTTCTCTTCTCTTCTTGTCTTTGTAGAGATTTGCTTATTTTTTCAGGGCTTCGACTGTGTTCTGATAGGGCTTCGACTGTGTTCTGCTAATTACTTAGGGCTTTCACTGTGTCAAATTAATCATGTTTCAGGTTGCCTTGTTTCTGAGTATTTAATCATGTTTAAGGTTGCCTTATTTCTGAGTATTAAATTAATCATGTGTTAAATTAAGTTACAGATATGCTTATTTCTTGTGTCTGAGTATTTGATCAATGACAGCCCAAATTGATGACCTAGACTCCATGGTTAAGATTGCCTTGTGAGCAACCTTTTATGTCTCTCAGTTCATCACATGTTGAAATTGTGTGCATTAATGTGTTATACCTTGAATGGAACTTAATTTTGTTTGTTAAGGGTTTGTTAGTTTATTTGTTTGTTTTGGAAAAAGATAAGAACTTCATTGAAATATATAAGAAGTATGCAGAGCAGTGGCTTTCTTCTCTTCCATATCGCTGAAGCATACTGATTGGTTACTGTACTAGTTCTGAGGCAAATATTTGAATAGAGTATGTTATGATATAGATTAAATATTTAGAAGGGGAAGAAAAATAGTTAAAATTTACCGACAAAAAAAAGAAAAGAGAAAAGGAAATTAAAACAAAGAAAGGTGCCTTCTTTCTCTGCAATCTGGCAAAATTGTGGGTAATGCTGTTAATTGCACCTTGGAGTACTAATGACGGGGAAGAAGACATGTATCTTGAAGTTTTCAGCTCATTATGTTAGGTTCTTCAGGTTGTCAGGGTTAGGCTTGTGTCAAACCGTGACGTGATCAGGCTACTTTACATGTAAAATGCAGATTCTTTATTGTAAATACTGCTTCTGTGAATATGTGAAGCATATTTGTGCTTCTTACTTGCAGCTGCTGTAAATAATTCTCTGCTTCTCTCAAGTTATGAAATCAAAGGCCAACCAGTTTATTTCGTGTGCTTTTGTGTCTTTCTGCTGTGTTTGGAAAGAATGGAGTAACAAAAAGTGAATAAAGTATAAATTACCTTTTTTATTGTTTTACTTTTTATTACCAATTTCCTTTTCTTTTCACAAATTAAAGATCTAAACACATTTTTGACTACATTATCAATTATCCTTCTTTACATGTGCTAATTGGTTGGCATCTTGGAAACATTTTTTTTTTTTGGAACTTTGATGCAGTGGAAGCACTTCCAAGATATGTCTAACCAAACAGAAACCTCACGACCTTCTTTCTCATTCTTATTGCTCTGCTCTTTATATTGTCCTATTTCCCTGTATTACTTGAGAACATTTTCATGTCTTTCAAAAGCATATTTTCAATGTTTTTTTTTTTAATTGTTTTGGCAGTTGTTTTGCCCAAGTTGTTAAAAAATGTCACTGGAATTATGCATAACACACTTGAATTATGCACAGCTGACTTGAATTGCCAGGTTATTTTTGCATTGCCCAAGTTGTTTAAGAAATTGCCCACTGGAATTATGCACAGCACACTTGAATTATGCCACTACCAGAATTATGCACACTTGAATTATCCCACTTCAATATTGAATTATGCAAACTTGAATTATGCCTTGTTTTTTTTTTTTTTAAGGAAGTGCGCACACAATTAAATTATGTTGAAAATTTGTAAACTTTTAAACCGCCAAACCGATTCGTATCCATCCGCCATCCGCTCATCGCTCATCGCCATCCGCCGGATTGGCGGACGGATGCGGATTGATTTTCTCCAATCCGCCAATCTGGCGGACGGATGGCGGATTAGAGGTTCCGTGGCCGCAACCGATCCGCGCCCACCCCTAATCATATGTCAGCTGAACGTTATCTAGTAAATTGCTACAAATTTCAACAAGTGTTAAGTATCTTCTTTGGTTTAACCAACCTGTAGATTGCTACAAGTGTTTAGCAATGACCTCGACTTTGCTTCAACTCGTAAATTGTTACGAATTTAAACAAGCGAAGAGAAACAGTAATCTTGCCTTAACTTCAACTTGTAAATTGTTACAAATTTCAACAAGTGAAGATAAGGAATAATCTTAGCTTAACTTCAACATGTAAATTGCTACAAATTTCAACAAGTGAAGATAAGGAACCATATCGGCTTAACTTCAACTTGTAAATTGCTACAAATTTCAACAAATGACGATAAGGAACCATCTCGGCTTAACCTCAACTTGTAAATTGCTACAAATTTTAACAAGTGAAGATAATGAACCATCTTAACTTCACTTCAACTTGTAAATTGCTACAAATTTCAACAAGTGAAGATAAAGAACCATCTCAGCTTAACTTCAACTTGTAAATTGCTACAAATTTCAACAAGTGAAGCTAAGGAACTATCTCGGCTTAATTTCAACTTGTAAATTGCTACAAATTTCAACAAGTGAAGCTAAGGAACCATCTCGGCTTAACTTCAACTTGTAAATTGCTACAAATTTCAACAAGTGAATTAAGTGTTTCTGTCTTCTCTCTGCCCCCAATGTGAACCTGAGTTCTACTTGGGTTCTCATTATTCATGTCTCCAAAAACACCAATATGTAACTTTATCAATCATATGTGCTTAAAGAAAAGGGGAAAAGATTTTATTGATGACATCGGCCAAAAATAATGCACATCTAATGATAGAAAAATTTCAAACTACAAGTGTTCCAAGGTCTTGGCAGTGCTTTGCCCTCGTTATCTTCAAGCTGATAAGCTCCATTGCCTAATACCGAAGTAATTCTGTAGGGTCCATTCCAGTTTGGGCCAAGCTTGCCCTCTCTGGGATCCTTCTTGTTACCGACAACTTTTCTCAGGACTAGGTCGCCGATTTGAAAATCTCTTGGATTGACCTTCTTGTTGTAAGCTCTGGTAAGCTGTTGCTGGTATACTGCGAGCTGAATTGCAGCTTTCTCTCTTTGTTCTTCTAAAATATCCAGATCTCGGGCTAAGAGTATGTCATTTGTCTCGTTCTCAACTCCCTGGGTTCGGATCCCTGGGATGCTGACTTCCAGTGGAATGACTGCTTCTGTGCCATAAGCCATGGCAAAGGGGGATTCCCCCGTTGATCTTCTCAGTGCAGTCTGATATGCCCAAAGCACGTTAGGCAATTCGTCTACCCACTTTCCTTTTGCTGCCTGCAGCCTCTTCTTTATTCCATCTAAAATTACTTTGTTGGATGCTTCTGCTTGCCCATTACTTTGGGGAAAACTTGGTGTTGAAAAGTAATTCTTGATCTTGAATTTCGCACAAAAGTTCTTGATGAGTTTGCTGTCAAACTGTGTCCCGTTGTCGGCAACTATTGCTCTCGGAATCCCAAATCTGGTGATGATGTTTCTCCATATAAAGTTCTTGACGTCCACATCTCTGATTTTGGCAAGAAGTTCTGCCTCTATCCACTTCGTAAAGTAATCTGTTGTTACCAGCAAGTATTTTCTCTGCCCAGTTGCCTGGGGAAGTTGCCCAACAAGATCCATGCCCCATTGGGCAAACGGCCAAGGGCTGGATACTGGGTTTAGGTCAGCAGCTGGTTGATGTATCAAAGGTGCAAACCTTTGGCATTGTTCACACTTCTTCACGTAGGCTTCAGCATCCTTTTGCATGTAGGGCCACCAATACCCCTGGGTAATGGCCCTGTGGGCTAATGATCTGCCCCCAACATGGCTTCCACAAATTCCTTCATGAATTTCATATAGGAAATCTTCAACCTGCAAAGGGTGTACGCACCTTAAAAGGGGTCCAGTGAAGGACCTTCTGTAGAGGTGTCCATCTGCTGTCAGACTGAATCTTACCGATTTCAATCTGACTTTGTGTGCCTCCTTACGATCTTCTGGCAGCTTTCCTTCTTTCAGGAATGCAACAATTGCATCCATCCAGCTTGGCCCCATGTCCACACACATTGTTTCCTGCTCTGTGCTCTGTGGTTCTATGCTCGGGCCCGACATATAGTCGATCATAATTGTCCTTGCTTTTCTAGTCTGCATTGAACTTACTAGGTTAGCCAACGCATCGGCGTGAGTGTTGTCATCTTGGCTAACTTGGAGTAATCGGCAGTTTTGAAATAGGGCTGCCAATCTGATGATCTCTTTTGCATATGCCGACATCCTTTCATTTCTGGATGCAAATTCTCCTATTGACTGGTTAATAATAAGCTGTGAATTACAAAAAACGATTACCTCATCTGCTTCTGCTGCTGCTGCTAGTTTTAGCCCTGCAATTAATGCTTCGTATTCCGCTTCATTGTTTGAGGCCTGGAACCCCAAACGGATGGACTGTTCTATTATTTCTCCATCTGGAGATATCAGCAGTACTCCTGCCCCCACTCCTTGTCGGTTCGAACTTTCATCGAAGAACAGTCTAAATGAGTCGCCGATGTAGATGCTGCAGGGTCTGAGTCTTTCCTTCCTTTGCTCTTTTGCCTTAGGCTGGGATTCTCCTTGCTTGCTGGGACAATGCTCATCCTGGCTCAACGGAGCCCGATGTTCGATGGTTTCAGGCGTGAATTCTGCCATGAAGTCGGCCAAAACTTGGCCCTTTATTGCTATTTTGGGCCTGAACTCCAAGTCATACTGGCCCAAGGCAACTGCCCATCTTGTGATTTTTCCTGTTAAGTCTCCTTGTTGCAACAGGGCTTCAGTGGGTGCTCTGTGAGTACCACAATCTTGTGCGCCTGAAAGTAATGGTTCAATTTTTTTGAGGCCATTACTAAGGTCAGCATTAATTTCTCTAGTGGTAGATACCTTGTTTCTGCGTCGGCCAAGGTTTTACTTACATAATAAACAGCCTTTTGTTCTCCTTGTTCTTCTCGAAAAGCAGTCTTTGGGGCAAGCTTTGTTCAGGCTTGCAAAATCTACGCAGACCCGCCATTTACCGTTTTTCTTTTTTACCACTACTGTGTTGGAGAGCCATGTCGGGTAATGAACTTCTTGGATGGCCCTGGCCTCCAGAAGTCTGTCCACTTCTTCTTCTACTGCTTCGACGTGTATCAACGTCGGTCTTCTGGCTCGTTGAATCACAGGTTTTGCCGACCTGTCGACATTCAGTCTGTGGCAGGTGACCTCGGGGTCAATGCCTGGCATTTCGTAGGGTGTCCAGGCGAACACCTCAATATTGGATCTCAAAAATTCTTCCAGTTCTCTTTCCTCTTCTTCGGCTAAGCCTGAGCTGAGAAGAAAGTAGCGCTCTTCGTCGCCCTCCTGGACGAGGATTTTCTTTAGTGTCTCTTCACTCTTTTCGGCTAGCTCCTTGCCGACATCATCTAGGACCTCCATGTCCTCGTCTTCAATCTCTGCCTTCCCTGGTTCCCGAATGTTACAGGTAGTTTTTATTGCTGCCATGGAGCAATTCTTTGCCTGCAGTTGGTCTCCTCTGACTTCTTCAATCCCATGTTCTGTGGGGAACCGCAATAGTTGATGCAATGTTGAGGGAACTGCGCCCATTGCATGCAACCATGGCCTTCCCAAGATGATGTTGTAAGGTGAAGGCCTAGCTTGTACCGGCTAGTTTCGGCTAGTAACCATTGCATGCAATCACGACGAATTCTGTTCTAATTTTCTTAGTGCCGGCTTGTACCTCCGAGCTTGTTGCGCCCAGTGGCCACGTTGGCGTTCCATTAAAGCCGACCATCGGG